CTGCCTGTTAAAAGGCAGAAACCTAGGACAGATCCTCCGGCTCTAGGTGGGTGGTCGTCTGTCTCGACCAGTTGGGGTGAGAGAGAGAGAGAGAGAGAGAGAGAGAGAGAGAGCGACAGACAGACAGACAGACAGACAGACAGACAGGTGCACAGCAACAACAGTATTGGCAATGGCAGTCAAGCAGGACCATGGCAGGAGGCTCCACCAGGATCCATGAGAACCTGCGAGACGAGAAAGCACAAGAACTCCGGGGAAGAAGTGGAGTTAGTAACATGCATTAATGGGACATGAATGAGTGCAGAAAGAGAGAGGAAGGGAGGAGCTCAGTGCACCATGGGAAATCCCCCGATAGTCTAGGCCTATAGCAGCATAACTAAGGGATGGTTCAGGACTCACCTGATCCAGCCCTAACTATAAGCTTTATCAAAGAGGAATGTCTTAAGCCTACTCTTGAAAGTGGTGAGGGTGTCTGCCTCCCGAACCACAACTGGAAGCCGGTTCCACAGGAGAGGAGCTTGGTAACTGAAGGCTCTGGCTCCTGTTCTACTTTTAGAGACTATAGGAACCACAAGTAGCCCAGCATTCAGAGAACGTAGTGTTCTAGTGGGGTAATAGGGTACTATGAGCTCTTTAAGATATGAAGGGGCCTGACCATGAAGAGCTTTATAGGTGAGGAGGAGTATTTTAAATTCAATTCTACATTTTATAGGGAGCCAATGCAGAGTAGCTAGTACAGGAGAGATGTGATCTCTTTTTCTAGTTCCTGTCAGTACTCGTGCTGCAGCGTTCTGAATTAATTGGAGCGTTTTAATGGACTTATTGGGGCAACCTGATAATAAAGAGTTGCAGTAATCCAGCCTTGAAGTAACAAATGCATGGATTAGTTTTTCTGCATCTGTCTGTGATAGTATGTGTCTAATTTTTCTAATATTACGTAAATGAAAGAAGGCAGTCCTAGAGGTCTGCTTTATGTGGGAGTTAAATGACAAATCCTTACAATATAACAACAACAATATTCAGTTACAGTGTTTCAGGTCTCTTGTGTTCAGACGGGTTAGGGTCAGACTCCACATGAGAGTTCAGTCTGATTACAGTCCACATGTAAACCGGGTCGGTCTAATGAACCTGAAGCTGTTTGGTAGCTGACCTCTGACCTTTAACAGTTAGCTAGCATTAGCTAACAGCCAGCGACAGAAGAACCTGCAGCTGCTGTTATTATCAGACCTCTGGTCTCTGTAAGTCCTGGGTCTGAACTTAGTGTCCAGAATGTCGTCTGATCAGGACCTCAGGCTGGTCAGTTATCTGTGTGTGGTTCTGGTTATGTTTCAGGAGCACCACCTGCAGAGGGCGATCTCGGCCCAGCAGGTCTTCAGGGAGAAGAAGGAGAACATGGTGATCCCCGTCCCTGAGGCCGAGAGCAACACCACCTACTACGACCGTCTGTACAAAGGAGAGGTCAAAGTCCCCAAACAGCTGATCCACATCCAGCGTGAGTCCTCAGACTGGTCCTAATACTGGTCCTCAGACTGGTCCTCATGCTGGTCCACATACTGGTCCTCATGCTGGTCTGCGTACTGGTCCTCAAACTGGTCCTCTGACTGGTCCTCAAACTGGTCCTCTGACTGGTCCTCAGACTGGTCCTCAGACTGGTCCTCAGACTTGTGTACAGTCTCCAGTTATTACTGTATGTTTGACCTGATGTCTACCTGTGCTGTCTACATGTGCGGTCTACCTGTGTTCACTCTGTTTGTGGTCCTGCAGCTCTGGGTCTGGACCTGGAGCAGCCAGACTACGACATGGACTCAGAGGACGAGACGCTGCTCAACAGACTGAACAGAAAGATGGAGATCAAACCTCTGCAGTTTGAGATCATGGTGGACCGATTGGAAAAGGCCAGCACACACCAGGTAACACTGCACACACGCACACTATCTTGCTCTCAGCTGGTGTCTGTGGTTCTGGTTCTGTCCTCAGCTGGTGTCTGTGGTTCTGGTTCTGTCCTCAGGTGGTGTCTCTGTCAGAGGCGAAGCTGCTGCTGAATGAGGATGACTACCTGCTGAAGTCTGTGTATGATTACTGGGTGAGGAAGAGGAAGAACTGTCTAGGTCCATCGCTGATTCCTCACATCAAACAGGAGAAAAGAGACGGATCCACCAACAGCGACGCCTACGTGGCCTTCAGACGGAGGACCGAGAAGATGCAGACCAGGAAGGTCCGTCTTCATTCATAAATTAACAATCTAACCCTATAATTATTAATATTTTATTCATTCAGTTTGATGTTCATTTATATTTTCTGCAGGTTTGATTTGAAGAAAATAAAAACAACTGCTAATAAATTTGATCTAATTAAACTAATTAATAAACTACAGACTATTAATAATTACTATTTCAGATATTCTCCACACTGATAAAACCTGAAAGTAATAAACTCAAGTTCCTCAAAGCAGCTGAGAACCAATACTGAATCACTCTGTATGCAGACGATGTGCCTGTCTTTCTTCACAATCCAACTGTCTCTCTCTCACTCTGGTCTGTCTCTCTCTCAATTCAATTCAATTCAATTTTTCAATTCAATTCAAATGGCTTTATTGGCATGACGTAACACTGTACATATTGCCAAAGCAAGCGTTTGGAATTAAAAATAATAATAGTAACAATAAAGGAAAACAATATTTACAGTAAATTAATTATAATCTATACTGTTGGTAAAACTAACTATGACTCAATCACAATCACAGTCGCAATCAATCAATCTCAGTCAATAAGTAATTAATTACAATGAATGAATCAATCAGTTTGTGTCAACTAAAAATGTCATTAAAACAGTAGTAAAGTAACAGGCTACAGTTAAAACGTGTAGTGTGTTGTCAATATAACAGTAATAACAAAGAAAGAAAGAAAGGAAAAAAAACGAAAGAAAGTTAGAAAATGAAAATAATATATTAAAAATTAAAATAAATAAATAAAATAGTAAGCGTGTGTAAAATGTATATATATATTAAAGTTTCCACTGGTTGTCCTCAGTTCGTGGCATGAGGAGACATATTTCGCTGCAATAATTTGACTTTTGGGCATTTCTCCCAGTAAATAGGGGAGTTTCTGTGTGTCTGGTATATAAATTTGAATTCAGGGTATATTTGGGAAATGTTAGCAAATTGTTTCTCTCTTAATGTTTTGAATTTAGGGCATGAGGTTAGAAAGTGCAGCTCTGTCTCTACCTGTCCTCTGTCACACTGGGAGCAGAGTCTCTCCTCTTCTGGTAGCCAGTTCTGTCTGTGGCGACCCGTTTCTATGGCCAGGCTGTGTTCACTCAGCCTGTATGTTGTCAACATTTTTCATAGTTTAAGACATTTTATTGTGCTCTCAGGTAATTTGCCAGTGTAATTTACTTTGTGTTTTGGTCATTTCTTTCCAGTATTCAATATATTTTCTTTTTGCTTGTTGATAATTTGGTTTGGTCTGATTGAGTTGTTGTTGCTGTCCTGAGGCTGTTGGGGACATGTTACTGCAGAGAGCCTCAGGACCAGCTGGCTGAGGGGACTCTTCTCTGGTTTCAGCTCCTGGTATGTTAGGGCTTTGTGATGGTATGTCTGGGTGTTAACTGATTTTAAGTCTTTGCAAAATGTAATTGATCTTTTCTGTATTTTTAGTAGGAGGGGGTATTGGCCGAGCTCTGCTCTGCACAGATTATTTGGTGTTTTTCTGCACCTGCAGGATGCTCTTACAGAACTCGCTGTGGAAAGATTCTATGATTGTTTTGTTTCATTTGTCAAATTCATTATTTAGTTTTGGTTCCCAAATTTCGCTGCCTTATAGAATTATTGGTTCTAGTACATAGTGGAAAATTTTAAGCCAGATTTCGATTGGAATATAGATTTTAATGTTTCTCTTTATTGCATAGAAAGCTCTCCTTGCTTTGTCCCTCAGATCTTTCACAGTCATGTTGAGGTTTCCTGTGTATGTAATGTTGAGGCCAAGGTAAGTGTAGTTTTTTTGTATGTTGTAATTTAGTGGTGTCTAAATAGAAATTGTGTGTAACCTGATTTCTGAATTGTTTCTGAAAGATCATTATCTTAGTCATTGCTGTGTTTACTGTCAGGGCCCAGGTCTGACAAAATCTCTGCAGGAGATTAAGGTGCTGCTGCAAACCTTCTTTAGTAGGTGAAAGTAGAGATGTTCCGATACAATTTTTTCCCTCCCGATACCGATTCTGATACTCGTGCTGTGGGTATCGGCCGATACCGATACCAGTATGTTTTAAAAAAAAAAGAAAAAAATCATACTACGCCGTGATAAAAGGGCGGACTGGGACAATAATTCAGGCCGGGAATTTGATACCATCCCAGGCCGCCACCACCACCCGATTAACGCAAAACACCAAGAGTGAGTTAGGTTGGGCACCTACTGATGTAAGAGTGTAAAATAATAGAGCAAAGGCTCCACATGCGCCCACACACAGCCTTTTCTGTTTCTTTCCCCTACAAAATAAATGTTTCTGTTGTGCTGCAATAACCTGTACTCAAATCACATAATTTCTATTCTATTTAATTTACTACTACACTTTTAATGTGCAGGCGGCACATTTAATAGTGTAGTAGTAGATTAAATAAATATGCAGATGTGTAGGTTTATTCTCTGTTACATTAAACAAGGAAACTTCAAACACACAGAAAGAAATTTGCAAAATCCTTTGTTACAACTTTAAAACATTTGTTTTATTAAGTCAGTTTTAGCCCCATCAGCTTCCACAAAGTGGAACTAACCTCCTCATTAAGCTAGTCGTGCTGGATAGGCTATGGTTGTGCGTCTGTTGTCTCCACTAGTGTTTAATGTCTTACCTGCTCCCTTACTGACAAACATGTCAGTTATTTTACAGCACTTTGCTGCATCTGTGGCCAGTGCTTTTAGCTTTTAGCCTCTCCCTCTCTGCTCCACCTTTCGTCTGCCTGCAGTGCTGTGACAGAGAGCCTCAGAAAAAGAGAGGGGGGAGTGTGTTTGTGCCCAACGTTGCTGCTCTGTCTGTGTGAGCTTCAGCGAGGCAGATACCCTAATGAGCCGCACGATGAATTGTTTATTTAAAAATCAAGCGTGACCCGAACCGAGCCTTTGGTCCCGACCATTGGCAATCGCCAAGCGGGCCAGTTCGGCGGACTGGCCTCCGGTAAATGTCCCGGTGCTCCCGATGGCCAGTCCGCCACTGCTGTGATATGATTATCGCGTCTTCAAATGTTTGATTAAGTTGCTGGTGTTGGAATTTGCAACACTCGTGCCACCCCTCGAAATTGCTTCTTTGCATATGTTGCATGTCGCCGTCTTACTGGTGGGAACATCCACTTTAAAGTACTGCCAAACCGCCGACATGATGCTCTAATGTTAGCTCCTTTTGACAGGTGTCAGGTGATCAATTCTTCTTCGCCCCTCTAAAACAGCAGCTGCCGATGGCAGCACAGCACAACTGTTTTGAGAGCTGTGAAGAAGAACTGTGTCAGAGCTAACGGATCTAACCAGTAAATAGATTCCTATTTCTAATAAATTATGGGGTATCGGATCGGTGCCTGGACTCCACTGCTCGCCGATACCGATGCCAGCATTTTCGGCAGTATCGGAGGCATTCCCAATACTGGTATCGGAATCGGAACAACTCCAGGTGAAAGCAACACTAAGTCATCTGCATCCACATTCAAGAGTAGGCTTAAGACATTCCTCTTTGATAAAGCTTATAGTTAGGGCTGGATCAGGTGAGTCCTGAACCATCCCTTAGTTATGCTGCTATAGGTCTAGACTATCGGGGGATTTCCCATGGTGCACTGAGCTCCTCTCTTCCTCTCTCTTTCTGCACTCATTCATGTTCCATTAATGCATGTTACTAACTTCACTTCTTCCCCGGAGTTCTTGTGCTTTCTCGTCTCGCAGGTTCTTATTGATCCTGGTGGAGCCTCCTGCCATGGTCCTGCTAGATTGCCATTGCCAATACTGTTGTTGCTGTGCACCTGTCTGTCTGTCTGTGTCTGTCTCTCTCTCTCTCTCTCTCTCTCTCTCTCTCTCTCTCTCTCTCTCTCTCTCTCTCTCACCCCAACTGGTCGAGACAGACGACCACCCACCTAGAGCCGAAGGATCTGTCCTAGGTTTCTGCCTTTTAACAGGCAATTTTTCCTTGCCCTTGTTGCCAAGTGCTTGCTCATGCTCTATTTGAAAAGTGTCCTGAGATAACTTCTGTTATGAATTGGTGCTATACAAATAGAATTGAATTGAATTGAATTGAATTTTCTAAAATCTTAATTCTTGATCAATTAAAGTCTGGAGGGTAAATATATGGTCCATTGTTCGCCAATTTGGCAAGAAACCAATTTCACATTTATGCAGAATATTGTGGTCATCGAGAAAGTTGACAAGTCGTTTATTAATGATGTTGCAGAATATTTTTCCCAGGTTACTGGAGACACATATTCCTCTAGTTATTTGGATCATATTTATTTCTTGATTTATGTATTGGGGTTATTAAACCTTTGTTCCAGATGTCTGGAAAAGTTCCAGTTGACAGAATAGTATTGAATAGTTTTAGTATAGCCAGTCTGATTTCATGGTCTGAGTATTTGATCATTTCGTTGAGGATTCCATCAATACTACAAGCCTTTTTTTCCATTCAGGGACTGGATGACTTCTGTTAATTCTTGTTCTGTTACTGGGTAATCTAGAGGGTTTTGGTTGTTTTTTATCACCGCCTCCAGAGTTTTCCATTTCGTGAATATCTTGTACTGATCATAATTTTTTGTAATATTACTGTATAATTCACTAAAGTGATTAATCCAAGTATTTCCATCTTGGATCGCCAGTTCATCCTGCTGGGTTTTGTCCTCTCTCTGTCTCTCTCTCACACTCTGGTCTGTCTGTCTCTCTCTCTCCCACTGGTCTGTCTGTCTCTCTCTCAATCTGGTCTGTCTGTCTCTCTCTCACACTGTGGTCTGTCTGTCTCTCTCTCTCTCTCCCATCAGTCTGCCCCACTTCCTCCTGTCTCTTTCTCCCCGTCTCTGTTGAGTTCCCTCAGCAGTCTCGGCCATAAAAACACAACTTGTGTGGGTTTAGGACTGTTTCGTTGAAATAAAGATGACACTGATTGATTGATTGATTAATTGATTGATTGATTGATTATTGATGAATGATGTTTGTCTCAGAACCGTAAGAACGACGAGGCGTCGTACGAGAAGATGCTGAGACTGAGGCGAGAGTTCAGTCGGACCGTCACCATCCTGGAGATGATCAAAAGGAGAGAAAAGTCCAAGAGAGAGCTGCTCCACCTCACTTTGGAGGTGGTGGAGAGGAGGTGAGCAGGTTCATCAATCACTATGATCAGTTGTCGGATCTGGATGTGAGACAAACGTGTATGGTCTTTTTAATCACCTTGTAGAACATTTTACTTATGTTTACATAAAAGTTATAATCTTCAGTATATAAACTTTTAACTAAATGTAGTCCAGTTTGAACAGTTGTACATTATAATTCAGTTTTATTTGTAAATCACCGATTCATAACAGACTTTATCTCTTATAGAGCAGGTTTACACCGAACTCCTTATAACATTATTTACAGACCCAACAGTTCCCACCATTATAATACTCGGATATAAAGTTTACTCACAAATAATTCAGTGAACTTTATGAAACAGTAAGAACACAGTTTACACATACACTGTATTGGTAATGTGTGTGTGATCAGGTATGAGATGATGGTATTGATAATATGTTTGTGATCAGGTATCAGAGCAGTGTATTGATAATGTGTGTGTGATCAGGTATGAGATGATGGTATTGATAATATGTTTGTGATCAGGTATGAGATGATGGTATTGATAATGTGTTTGTGATCAGGTATGAGATGATGGTACTGATAATATGTGTGTGATCAGGTATCAGAGCAGTGTATTGATAATATATGTGTGATCAGGTATGAGATGATGGTATTGATAATATGTGTGTGATCAGGTATGAGATGATGGTATTGATAATGTGTGTTCAGGTATCAGATGGGAGATTTCAGTGGAGACACTCTCAGAGAGGTATCACTCCCTCTGGTGGAGAAACCAGTGTACAGCACTCCAGTTACTCTGAACAACGGCAACAGACACAAAACTGACAAGATCAAGGTACTGTCTGTCTGTCTCCTTCAAACATGCAGTGTCATATAAAGACTGATTGCATTGAAAATTAGAAAGCACAATAAATATAAATTAAAGCTGCAAGCAGCGTTGGGCGGGACCTCGCACCCGGCGCTCGTCGGGGCGCGCCGCAAACGCGTCACGTGCGGTCGGGGTGCGCCAAGGCCACGTCACGTGCCGTCGTAACAAGCGCGGACCGCAACGCGAATACGTCACGTAAATCGTCTCCAAATCAGCTCCAAATCGCCACGCAGCGCTTCCTTCCTGTGGCCAGTATGCTGTGGTTTCACTGTATCTGATTCTTGTAACGTAGACAAGTTCATGGCGGGACTGAAATACGTAGGTTGATGTTATGAGGACGTGTTCAGGGCGAGACTGTTACAGAATATATGAAGTTTATTGGAAATTGGACATTGCACACTGAAGTTATGAGTACCGCTTAATGGAAAATCATCTGAATTCGACAAGGGGTCAGTGGCACGCAGTTTGACGTACAGTCACAAATAGCTCAATTCTTCATGTACACTTTGTTTCTATATGACTGTCCAATTTTGAAGTCGATTTGATAAGTCCCCTATTTATCTTGCAATTTAACAAGTGACTTCCAGCGGTTTCACACTATGCTCCACGAACAATACTCCCTAGAAAATATGGTTTGTAGATGTGGCTAGTGGGAGTGGAGGGGTGTTTGTGTTTCATCACTTTGAAAAAAAAGACCACAGAATTCAAAATGTCCAACTTTGACGAGACACTTGGGACACGTCCTTCAACGTACAGTCATAAATAGCACAACTTGTAATCCGCAAAATTATTCAAGAGTACTGTCAAGTTTTGAAGCAGATGTGATCAATTCTCAAGGAGTTTGTTTGTTCAAATACAGGACCACGGGCTTCAAAATGGCCAACTTTGACGGCAGGCCACGGACACGCCCTTCAACGTACAGTCACAAAATGAAATGCGTTCATTCAGCACCATATTGTGAGTGTACTGCCCAATTTTGAAGAAGATCCGTTAGAACGTGTCAGAGGAAATCATTCAAATAGAAGCCCTGAAAGGCCAAAATGACATCACAGTGTGACATTTGTTCTAAATGGCCAACTTTGAGGGCACGCCACGGACACGCCCTTCACCGTACAGTCACAAAATATAATGCGTTCATTCAGCACCATGTTGTGACTGGACTGTTCAATTTTGAAGAAGATCCGATAGAAGCTGTAGGAGGGCATCATTCAAATAGAAGCCCTGAAATGCAAAAATGACATCACAATGTGACATTAGTTCTAAATGGCCAACTTTGAGGGCACGCCACGGACACGCCCTTCAACGTACAGTCACCAAATATAATGCGTTCATTCAGCACCATGTCTTGACTGTACTGACCAATTTTGAAGCAGATCCGATAAATTCCCTAGGATCAGTTAGTTCACAAAGAAGCCCAAAAGGTCAAAATGACCACAAAATGGCTGCCAAAAGTGCAAATTTTAAATGAAAATAGCCGACTTCCTGTGGGATTTGAGGTATGTGTCCAAGAGGCTTTTTTGTACGCCCCGGCACATTATACATGCCTATTGAGTTTCGTACATATCGATGAAACGTGGCGCCGGGGCTGATGTTTTTTTATCCTATAGGGGGCGCTACAAGCACGACAAACCCGATTTTTGATATGTGAGCTTCAGGCACCACTCTACACGTGCCCAGTGAATTTCATATTCATAACTATTATGGTGTGTGCACAGTGATTTACCCTGCCACCAGAGTGCCACCTAGTGGCGTGATTTTTTTCCTTTTTAGGGGAGCCTCAGGGAGCCATGGGGAAGCAGCGTACCAAGTTTCATCTTAATCACACATACCGTTGTAGAGATATAAACTCCTTCATTTGAAAGAGCGCCACCTTGTGGTGATGACCTGAAATTGTGCACGATGCCTAAGGAAGACATGGGGAACTATGTACCCAAGCATGGTGTCGATCGGACATACAAATGTGGAGAAATACCCCACTTCCTTTTTTGACGAAAAATCAACAGGAAGTGCTAATTTTATAACACGCTTATTTTTTAAAATATCAAAATTCTTCAAATTACTTTTGTTGTCAGGGCGGTCCACAGATGCTACGTGCAAAATTTCGTGCGAATCGGACAAAGTGTGTAGGATGAACACCAAAAAGTCATTTATGGACATTTTGCGCTCTAGAAAAAAAAAAATCTAGACGGAAGTGGGCGTGGCCTATATGGGGAGGTTCAGCTCCATTCACCGAACGCGTGGATATAAGGTTTTTGAATGTGAGACAAACTATGCGGGAGTTATTAGCCTTTCAAGATCTTTTTAAATAGCGCCACCTAGTGGCCTACCTAGTGGCTGATCTGCATAGAATCTCCGAGTTTAGAGAAGCTTGACAAATGTGCCAAATAAAATGCGAATATTATAATTGGTAAGGGGGTGAAAAATGCGCTCAATGTTCTGAAAAATAATAATAATTAAAGCTGCAAGCAGCGTTGGGCGGGACCTCGCACCCGGCGCTCGTTGGGGCGTGCTGCGGCGGCGTCACGTGCGCTCGGGGTGCGCCGAGGCCACATCACGTGCCGTCGTAACAAGCGCGGAGTGCAACGCGAATGCGTCACGTAAATCTGCTTCAAATCAGCTCCATATCGCCACGCAGCGCTTCCTTCCTGGTGCCAGTATGCTGTGCTTTCACTTTATCTGAATCTTGTCACGTAGACAAGTTCAGGGCGGGACTGTAATACGTAGGCTGATGTTATGAGGACGTGTTCAGGGCGAGACTGTTACAGAATATATGAAGTTTATTGGAAATTGGACATTGCACACTGAAGTTACGAGTACCGCTTAATGGAAAATCATCAGAATTTGACAAGGGGTCAGTGGCACGCAGTTTGACGTACAGCCACAAATAGCTCAATTCTTCATGTACACTTTGTTTTTATAAGACTGCCCAATTTTGAAGTCGATTTGATAAGTCCCCTATTTATCTCGCAATTTAATAAGTGACTTCCAGCGGTTTCACACTATGCTCCACGAACAATACTCCCTAGGAAATATGGTTTGTAGATGTGGCTAGTGGGAGCGGAGGGGTGTTTGTGTTTCATCACTGAAAAAAAAGACCACAGAATTCAAAATGTGCAACTTTGACAAGACACCAGGGACAGGCCCTTCAACGTAGTCATAAATAGCACAACTTGTAATCAGCAAGATTATTCAAGAGTACTGTCAAGTTTTGAAGCAGATCTGATAATGTCTCATGGAGTTTGTTTGTTCAAATACAGGACCACGGGCTTCAAAATGGCCAACTTTGACGGCAGGCCACGGACACGCCCTTCAACGTACAGTCAAAAAATGAAATGCGTTCATTCAGCACCATGTTGTGACTGTACTGCCCAATTTTGAAGAAGATCTGTTAGAACGTGTCAGAGGAAATCATTCAAATAGAAGCCCTGAAAGGCCAAAATGACATCACAGTGTGACATTTGTTCTAAATGGCCAACTTTGAGGGCACGCCACGGACACGCCCTTCAACGTACAGTCACAAAATATATTGCTTTCATTCAGCACCACGTTGTGACTGTACTGCCCAATTTTGAAGAAGATCCGTTAGAACGTGTAGGAGGAGATCATTCATATAGAAGCCCTGAAAGGCCAAAATGACATCACAGTGTGACATTTGTTCTAAATGGCCAAATTTGAGGCCACGCCACGGACACGCCCTTTAACGTACAGTCACCAAATATAATGTGTTCATTCAGCCCCATGTTGTGACTGGACTGCCCAATTTTGAAGAAGATCCGATGGACCTGTAGGAGGGGATCATTCAAATAGAAGCCCTGAAATGCAAAAATGACATCACAGTGACATTTGTTCTAAATGGCCAACTTTGAGGGCACGCCACGGACGCGCCCTTCAACGTACAGTCACAAAATGAAATGCGTTCATTCAGCACCATGTTGTGACTGTACTGACCAATTTTGAAGCAGATCCGATAAATTCCCTAGGATCAGTTAGTTCACAAAGAAGCCCAAAAGGTCAAAATGACCACAAAATGGCCGCCAAAAGTGCAAATTTTAAATGAAAATAGCCGACTTCCTGTGGGATTTGAGGTATGGGTCCAAGAGGCTTTTTTGTACGCCCCGGCACATTATACATGCCTACCGAGTTTCGTACATGTCGGTGAAACGTGGCGCCGGGGCTGATGTATTTTTATCCTGTAGGGGGCGCTACAAGCAGGACAAACAGGATTTTTGGTATGTGAGCTTCAGGCACCACTCTACACGTGCCCTGTGAATTTCATATTCATAACTATTACGAGTGATTTATCATGCCAAAAGAGCACCACCTAGTGGCGTATTTTTTTTGTCCTTTTTAAGTGAGCCTCAGGGAGCCATGGGGAAGCAGCGTACCAAGTTTCATCTTAATCACGCATACCGTTGTAGAGCTATAAACTCCTTCATTTTAAAGAGCGCCACCTTGTGGTGATGACCTGAAATTGTGCACAATGCTTAAGGAAGACATGGGGAACTATGGACCCAAGGTTGATGTAAATCGGACGTACCAATGTGGAGAAATACCCCACTTCCTTTTTTGACGAAAAATCAACAGGAAGTGCTAATTTTATAACTTCCTTATTTTTTAAAATATCAAAAATGTTCAAATTACTTTTGTTGTCAGGACGGTCCACAGATGCTACGTGCAAAATTTCGTGCGAATTGGACAAAGTGTGTAGGAGATTCCCCGGAACAGACATTTATGGACATTTTGCGCTCTAGAAAAAAAAAAATTCTAGGCGGAAGTGGGCGTGGCCTATATGGGGAGGTTCAGCTCCATTCACCGAACGCGTGGATATAAGGTTTTTGAATGTGAGACAAACTATGCGGGAGTTATTAGCGTAACGAAATTGGCCTACAAATAGCGCCACCTAGTGGCCTTCCTACTGGCCGACCTGCATGTGACGCATGGAATCTCCAATTTAAATGAGGCTTGACAAATGTGCCAAATAAAATGCGAATATTAGAATTGTTAAGGGGGTGAAAAATGCACTCAAAGTTCTGAAAAATAATAATAATAATAATAAACGAAGCAAAAACAATAGGGACCTCCTGCGGTCGCTTGCGAGGTCCCTAATAAACATAGGAAAAACAATAGAGACCTTCCAGTTCAGTGAACTGGCTCGGTCCCTAATAATTGAAACATAATAATGATCCAATATGGTCGTACAACTTTCACCCTCTGAGGGGGAAGGGTTAAACATAGCTGAGTCTGTATGGATGAAGATAGTTTTCACTTCATTCCTCAGAAGAGGGAGGAAGTTCGTGAATGTCTCCATTGAGTCTTATTCATAAATTACTTTTACACAAGTAAATCTGTTCAGTGAGTCAACTGTTGCTTTATCAATTTCAACACTTGATGCCTGTAAGTTTAGAGAGAATTAAATATTGAAGGTTAAAAACTAATAAGCACTAATTGTAGCATAATAAACAGCTGCTGATGCTTCTGTTGGTCAGACAATCAGACCACAGTAAATCCTCTGTTACTGACCTGTTTCCAAGTCTAAACTACAGAACACCTGAGGAAAACCTTTTGTTTTCACACAAATTAACCTTTTTCACCCAAAAACATCTCTCCTAAAAGTTAAAAACAGAATCACTTTGAGGCTTTGTATTTATGTCAAAGAAAGATTTTCTGCAGATGGAAGTTTTCCTAATACATTTTCTTTAACTTAGTTTCAGTTTTTAACAGTAAAATAAGATGAGCGTCTCTCTGACTGACTGAAAATAAACCATGAGCTAGTTTGTTTGTTGATAAAGAGCTAGTGGAGATGCAGAAGAGGAGGACGCAGCGAGAGACAATAATGTAAATCGGTTGTGATGTGAGGAAGGTGGTTTTTAGCTCCTCTCCTCATTCTCAGCGTCTGTCTGCGTTGCAGATGCAGAAGAAGCCGATCTCCGTCAGAGACGAGCTTCCTTTCGACCTGATCAGACCAAAGAAGAAGAACATTAGACGGGACAGATTGTATCCTCCACAGAGACGTCCTGGTCGACCCCCCGGCCCCTTCACCGTCAACAAGGCTGACATCAAACAGTACGACTTCCACAGCTCCGGAGAGGACGAAAGTCCGCCACCACCGCTGGTCAGCATCCGTCTGTCTGATATCATCTGATCAATACTGTCATATCCTTGATATCTGATCAATACTGTCATTGGTCTCTTCAGTCTCCTCCGTCTTCTCCTGATGAAGAGAATAATCCTGATGGAGTCTTTGTGTTCAGAAGAAAAGCTGGATGTCAATATCTGTCTGTGAGTCTGAACTCTTTAGAGAGTATATTTTATATTAAATAATGTAATGTGTGTATATATAATATAATATGTGTATATAATATATAAATATCAGAATTAGAATCAGAATCAGATTTATTGCCAGGTAGGTTTCTACACGTACGAGGAATTTGTCTTGGTGCATTAGTGCATAAAATATACAATCACACAAAAATATACAAATCACACAAAAATAGACTACTTTTAAAATCTAAATAAGAAAAGAAAACTGTACAGAAAACGGGAGTATAGGGTGGTTTTAAGAGTCATTTATACTATATAATGTATGAATATATAATATAATGTGTGAATATATAAAATTAGAGCTATATATTAATGTTATAATATAAGAATGTGTCTCATTAGTGCTGCAGGTTATAGAAGTCACATTGACTTGAGGTTTCAGAATATTAAAACAAACATATATATAGATAATAATTTATGTTCTCTGTGTGTGTTTGTTTCTGCAGCCTTGTAGGGAGCAGGCGGGTGGAGATCATCCACAGCTCCTCCCTCAGTGTCTCCGTCACTCTCTGGCTGAACTGACGCTGCCTCCTCATTGGACGGGACTGAGCCGCCGCAGGATAGGACGGGGGGGCAGGTAAACCCACACCCTACCTGTCTCACACCCTACCTGTATATCACCGTACCTGTATCACACTCTACCGTATCACACACAGGGATTGATTACTGAATAATTGATATTTACGTGTCTCTCTGATCAGGATAATCTTGGACCGAGCCTCATCAGGTCTGGATCCAGTACTAAGGCAGATGGACTCTTTAGCACATCCAGTCTTCAGGACTAGGACCTGCCTCCTCAGAGAACCACTGGAGCAGAACCCCTCCCTGACTGAAATCCTGAACAACATCCAGACCTTGAGAAGGTTCTGCTACAGACCCCGACCGGTTCAGGACCAGAGAGAAGGGTGCAGAGGGACTACAGGGTCCTCTCTGGAGGACCGAAGACTCACCTGCTGTCGGTCACCTGACACCAACTCTGGATCAGGTGAGTTTTCTTAGACTGCACAGGTTGATCACCCTGATTGATCGATTGATTGACGTTGAAGCACGAGCATTCAGGGTCCCGTGGAAAACCTGGAAATATAGACACTAAATTTCCAGTCCTAGATTAAAACGATCAAACATCCTGTAAATAATCTGTGTTGTCCTGGAACATTTTAATAGTATTTTATCTGCTCAGATTATATAAACCTGAGTGTTGAAACTCCACTGTTGGAGGATAAACTGCAAGACTTCAGAGCGAGTTCAGCAAAAATGCTCCTTTTTTATTTCCGTTCAACCATCTGCAGAAAACGTCTGACAGCAAATCTACTTTTAGGAGGTAGCACAACGTCCTGGGTCAGGGTCTGCAGGGTCCGTCCTGGGTCAGGGTCTGCAGGGTCCGTCCTGGGTCAGGGTCTACATGGTCCGTCCTGGGTCAGGATGTCTGATAAGAATCTGGGATCTAAAACAACAAAAATATGTCTGTCATAGTTTTATATGTTATAATAGTTATGAGCGTTATATACTCTGTATAATAATATAGTTAATAGTAATGAGTGTTATTTACACTGTATAATAATTCAATTCAATTCAATTTGTATAGCGCCAAGTCATAACAGAAGTTATCTCAGGACAATTTTCATAGTTAATATATATATAATATAGTTAATAGTTATATTAATGTTATTTAATCTATATAATAACATAGTCAATAGTTATGAGTATTATATACTCTGTATAATATTATAGTTAATAGTTATATGAGTGTTATATACTCTGTATAATGTTGTAATGTTTGTCTGTGCCAGCAGGGGGCATCACAGAGGAGCAGTACCACAGTCATCAGCAGCAGCTGGTTCAGATGCAGAAACAACAGCTGGAACAACTGCACAACAACTCTGCTTCATACAGACACACAGCGCTGCAGAGGTCACAGGTTAGTTATTGATCATATCTAATATTACACTAACGTATAACAATATTATACTAACGTACAACATTGTTACACAAATTTACAACATTATTACACTATATAACATTACAATAACGTATAACATTATTACACTGACGTATAACATTATTACACTATATAACATTACACTAACGTAAAACGTTATGACACTAACGTATAACATTATTACACTAACGTACAACATTATGACACTATATAACATTATTACACTAATGTATAGCAATATTTCACTAATATGAATTCATATCTAGAGATAATGAACTGACTTACACTGAGTTATGATGCAGCAACAGTGTTTTTGGATTGGTTATTGATTGATTGTGTCTGTGCTGTTTGGATTGGTTATTGATTGTGTCTGTGCGGTCTGCTTCTCTGAGTAACAATCTGTCCTGGTCTCTGCTGGTCTCATCTATAGTCTACCAGGGCAGGTGAGTCTGGTTCAAAAACTCTGGACTCAGCCAGCGCTCAGTTTGCAGCCTCTGCTGTGATCAGTGCTTCTCCTCTTCCTCCTCATGGTGTCATCAACAGAGAGAACAAACCCTACAAGACCAGCATCAACGGAGTCCACCATCCTTCAGGTGAGCTCACAGCGTTCACCGATACTAACAACAACAACAATACACTTTATTTATCACACACTCGGGAAAAAGAACTATGTCTTCTCTCAATCCTGACACACTGTTGAATTTAATGCTCAGTCCACCTCCATCCTCCATCTACCAAACTGCACTGTTTAAAACTAGGTAAACAACATCAGGTAGACTCTCCTGGATCCTTTAAAAGACTGAGTGGAAGACCAACAGATCTGTAAGAGCAGACATCTCCCTTAAAGACCAAATGTTCATTTATCAGAAATTCATTTGTTTTATTTGTATAGCGCCAGTTCATAACAGAAGTTATCTCAGGACACTTTTCAAATAGAGCAGGTCTAGACCGAACTCTTTAAAACATTAATTACAGAGACCCAACAGTACCACCATGAGCAAGCACTTGGCGACAAGGGCAAGGAAAAACTGCCTGTTAATAGGCAGAAACCTAGGACAGATCCTTTGGCTCTAGGTGGGTGGTCGTCTGTCTCGACCAGTTGGGGTGAGAGAGAGAGAGAGACAGAGAGAGAGACAGAGACAGACAGACAGACAGGTGCACAGCAACAACAGTATTGGCAATGGCAATCTAGCAGGACCATGGCAGGAGGCTCCACCAGGATCGATAAGAACCTGCGAGACGAGAAAGCACAAGAACTCCGGGGAAGAAGTGAAGTTAGTAACATGCATTAATGGAACATGAATGAATGCAGAAAGAGAGAGGAAGAGAGGAGCTCAATGCACCATGGGAAATCCCCCGGTAGTCTAGGCCTATAGCAGCATAACTAAGGGATGGTTCAGGACTCACCTGATCCAGCCCTAACTATAAGCTTTATCAAAGAGGAATGTCTTAAGCCTACTCTTGAATGTGGTGAGGGTGTCTGCCTCCAGAACCACAACTGGAAGCTGGTTCCACAGGAGAGGAGCTTGGTAACTGAAGGCTCTGGCTCCTGTTCTACTTTTTGAGACTATAGGAACCACAAGTAGCCCAGCATTCAGAGAACGTAGTGTTCTAGAGGGGTAATAGGGTACTATGAGCTCTTTAAGATATGAAGGGGCCTGACCATGAAGAGCTTTATAGACCCAACAATTCCCACCAGGAGCAAGACCTTTGTGTCAATGAAGTGAGATCAGTCTGGTTAATATCCTGACCCAACCTTAAAGTATTTCACTCCACTTCTTGTTCTCAATTCCGATGTCGCACATTTTTTGAATGAGGGGGAGAGTATCAGGTATCAAATCTCCATCTTCATGTTAACTCTGCCTCTCCAAGTGCAGCGTCTCACATTACTTCTCCTGCTCCTTAGATAAGATCCTCAAGGACGTCTTCTCCAATGTCAGCAGTTATTAAACAAATTCTAAACAGTTCTCTGACCTCTGGTTATTTCCTTGACAGTCTTAAACACATCCACCATCATTCAGCCACAAACCTGGATCCCCTGTCCTTACATAACACACTGAACTGTCTTTTTATCATAAGTCTGGAAGAAGTTTTTTTTGGGGCTTTTATTGCCTTTGTGATAGAGATAGCTGAAGATAGACAGGAAAGGGGGACAGAGAGAGGGGATGACACGCAGCAAAGGGCCGCAGGTCGGATTCGAACCCTGGACCGCTGCGCCAAGGACTCAGCCTCGGTACATGGGTCGCCAGCTCTACCTACTGAGCTAACCCGGTGCCCTGGAAGAAGTTATTTTATCTTTTATGAATAATAATCATATTTTGAACTGCTTCCAGTCTGCTTTTCGAGCACGTCATAGCACAGAGACAGTGCTTGTTAATGTTCCTAATGACGTCCTGCTGACTGCAGACAGACTGCTCTTAGATTGAAGTGCTACTGTCTATCAGAGCATCCTGTTACATCGCCCTGAGACTTGGGTTGGCATCGAGGGCACAGCTCTTACCTCCAACAGAACCTTGTTCTGGGTAACAGCTTGTTCACACCGTCCACGTCTGCGCTGCTCAGGCGGCCAAACTCTTCTGCAGATCAGTTGAGCTGTGGTGTCCCTCAAGGTTCAGTTCTTAGCCCTGTTCTGTTCTCTATATATTGGCCAAGTTATCCAAATGATGACTCTCAGTTTAACATGACCTTAAACCCACAGATCCCAGTAAACCTCACAACCTGCCTCTCTGACATTTAATCTTGTCCCTAAACATTGACTGATGATAAATGGGAGCTCATCCGGTTCGGTCCCTCTAACTCCTGAACACTTTTCAAATAGAGCAGGTCCAGACTGAACTCCTTATAGCATTATTTACAGAGACCCAACCATGAGCAAGACCTTGGTGTCAATGAAGTGAGATCAGTTTGTTGGTTGTGTTTCATCCAGATAAAGACAATCATCAAAGTTCACATTTATTTTCAAATTGTATGACTCACTTCTAAAGCTTTAAATGGACTTTGTCTCATAAACATTTATTAACCCTGTGTGCCCTCGACCCTTTCTTCCAGCTCAGTGCCACATAAATTAAGTTTTTTATTATTATTATTATTTTTGTTACTGCAGATACTACTAAACTTTATCTGTACAGATGACCTTTAGATAATGATAAAACTTCAATAGCACGATTCATACAGCCAATAGATTACAGTGATTGACAAAATTCAACTTCCTTTGGTCTTCCTCCTGCTCAGGTCCCTCCAGGCCTCCGTACTCTTCCTCCTCGTCTCTCAGCAGGTCGGGGCTTTCAGCTCGGGGTTCACTATCCTCCTCTTCCTCCTCCCCTCAGTCCCTTCCCAACCAGAGGAGTCAGGTGGGAGCTGTCTCCCCCCGCCCACCCCCCCACACTGCTCGACCCTCAGCCCCCCCAACGTCTGCCTTAAAGCTCGCCACCGTCGCCACCAGCCTCAACCGAGTGCCCAAAGTCTCCACCGCCAGGTAAACGCCACCCACAGACACCCGTACAGGTAAACACCACCCACAGACACCAATACAGATAAACGCCACCCACAGACACCCGTACAGGTAAACACCACCCACAGGCACCCGTACATAAAACTTTGATCCGAAATCAATGTCCGATCAGATGAATTGATTTTGGAGCTTCAGTGGGGGAGGAAGTGATGTCATCACTAATGGTTAATTGTTTTTCCCGACAGAGACGCTAACGAGCCGGAGAGACTGCTTAACGGACTGTCAGAGACCACGCTGCCCATGGAGGTCACATAACATCGTATCCCATCATCCCCTGCTCCTCCTCCCATCATGCCCTGCTTCCCCTGCTCCTCCTCCCATCATGCCCTACTCCTCCTCAGTGTCTGACCGGTGAATGTGACACACCGCGACCTCCAGAAGAAGAAAATGGCGTCAGAATCAGAACATTTTACTGAGTGTGGAAATTATTATTATTATTGTTATTGTTGTACAGTTTGTAAATGTCTTTGATGTAAAATAGATTTGGTTTGTTTCATCAGTTTAGTTTCTTAATCATCATGTGACTGCAGAATCAACTCTGATTGGTCGAGGATAAGTCTGTATCTTCGCTCTGATTAGTTGAGGATGAGATTATCTTTGCTCTGATTGGTCGAGGATGAGTCTGTATCCTCGCTCTGATTGGTTATTTATTTCTTGTTTACATTTTGTATTCTTTAACAATCTGAGTCTTGTCGACTGATTTCTGTTCTTGTTTCTTTTTTAAATGTCTGTTGAAGAATCTCTTCATATCTGATCATTCAAATAAAATATGCATCCTGTAAAAAGAGACGTTGATCTGCAGCTGCAACAGTGGTTATTTGTTATTGTTTCTGTCAAACTTCCTGTTTCCTCTTTTAAATGAAAGAAACTGGAAGAAATTGAGTTCTTCTTCAGACTGAAGCTTCAGTAACTAAGTACTTTTAATGTGTTTCTGTGTCTGGTTTTATTGATTTCAAAGTGAATCAGACATAATAAATATATTGATCTATTAGGTTCTTATACAGGACTTTCATTTTGTGATTATATTTGTATTTATTAACACTATTACACAATAAAATACACGAACACACACATTTAAATATAACTAATAAAATAGCACTTAAATATACATAAAGAACAACCATATTTACATGGAATATATAGTTACTGTGGTATGAACAAACATACAAAGAAATAATATCTAATATGTAATTTACTGAAGTAACAGATCAGAGTACTTGTTCCTCTGCTGGTGTTCATCTACAAATGAAACCAAATATTCTGTCTGATAGGTCTAAATATTACTAAATATTATATTAATATATCGGTCTTTATATTTACTATGAATTCAACGTTTGATAAAACTGCTTGAGAACTCAGGAAACAACACGAGTTTTAAACGTTTTATGGCAAAATGTCTCGATAAACATTCCGTTTCCAAATGTACCAAAGTCATTACTGGGACCAAACCCTAGTCAGCCATTTTTTAATCATTATAATAATTATTATTTTAATTATTATTATTATTATTATTAAAGAACATCTAATGAGAAAACAGCAGCTGTGACACTATTGTGTTTAGTTATCACATTATGATATTATATTATTAAATGATTACATTGTTATATTAATTCAATTCAATTTTCAATTCAATTTTATTTGTATAGCGCCAATTCATAACAGAAGTTATCTCAGGACACTTTTCAAATAGAGCAGGTCTAGACCGAACTCTTTAACATTAAATACATTATTATATTACATTGATACATTATTACATTAATAAATTATTATATTGATACATTTTTACATTAATAAATTATTATATTATTATAGTGATACACTATTATTAAATTATTACATTATATTATAAAATCATTATATTCCATTATTATATTATAACATATTAATAAATTATACTATTACATTATTATATTAATACATTGTTATATTATTAAATTATATTAATACATTATTATATTAATACATTACTATGTTATTAAATTTTATTAATACATTATTATATTAATACATAATTATATTATAACAATTATATTAATACATTACTATATTATTACATTATTATACTATATTATTAAATTATTATATTATTACATTATTACATTAATACATTATTATATTATTAAATTATATCGTTACATTATTATATTAATACATTATTATATTATTAAATTATATCGTTACATTATTATATTAATACATTATTATATTATTAAGTTATTATATTATTGTAAAAATTTAACCATCGCCCCATTTGGTTTTTTTTCTCCTTCATGTGACACAGAACAATCAATCAATCAATCAATCAATCAATCAATAAACGAATCGATCAGTTTATCTCCATACAAAGAGGAAGTAGGACTCGGTTTCCCAGAGTTCCCTGCGGCTCGGTGGTCCAGGGTGGACCTGTGTGAGGTGGGAGTGTTCAGAGACGGTGATCAGACTGGAATCCGCAGCCTCACCGGAGATCTGGTTCTGGACTCTGAACCGTTGGGATCTAAATCTGCGTCTGTCCTGGTCCGGGTCTGTGTGCTCTGTGTGCTCTGTGCGGTCTGTGTGCTCTGTGTGCTCTGTGCGGTCTGTGTGCTCTGTGCGGTCTGTGTGCTCTGTGCGGTGTTTCCCGGACGGTGTCGGTGATGGTGGACGCGGTGGAGTGCGGGGTGTGCGGGGTGAAGGTGATGTGTCGCTTCAGGCCGCTGAACGACGCGGAGCGGGGCCGCGGAGACAAATTCATCCCTAAATTCAACGGAGAGGACACGGTGGTGGTCGCGGTGAGTCCGGTACCGAGGGTCTGTCTGTCTGTCTGTCGGTGGTTAATTTACCGGCAGACACACCCTCCGTCCGTCCGTCTGTCTGTCTGCAACAATAGAAACACACCGGAAGCTGCTTGTCAAATATGAAATGAAATGAAAGTAAATGAGCAACAAACAGAAAATAAAACGTGTTTTTATCAAAAGATACTGATATTTTAAAGCTGAAACAAATCAATAAGAGATTATTTTTCTTCTGGGAGTCAGGGGTAATCAATAGATAATCAATATTAAAATAAAGATAAACACAGATTGTACAGTAAGATTGTGACGGTTGATTATTATCTATCATTATTATTGATTAAAAATATCTGGTTACTTTCAAAATAAAGCTCTGACGACATCAGCAGGTTTTATTTAATCTTTGTTAATAAAAAATATATTTAAAGCTTTTAATGGTTCAACTTCTGCATTTGCTCATGCTATTATAATATAAGCATCAATATTTAATGATTTTTGTTGTATTAAATATAAGATTAATTAATTAGTACTTTTATATATATACGTTATTAAATAAATAAATAGCATTATAAAGTTGTACTTAGGGTTAGGTAGTTTGTGATGAACACCCCCCCCCCCCAACTCCTTAAAATTGTCTCATTGTGGAGACCTGCTGAGGTGGGGGAGGTGAAGCTGGTGGGGGAGGTGAAGCTGGTGGAGGGGTCGGGGGTCAGTTGGGGGGGTCAGTTGGGGCATCAGTTGGGGGTTAGGGTTGATGAGACGACACTGAGAGCAGCTAAAGAAGAAACAATATTGATTGAAGTTCCTGATGAAGACTGACCATCATATGTTCTTTTTATTTAAACTGAATTTAAAGAAACTACATTTAATCAGAGGTTTATAAACTAACTAATGATAACAATAATGATAATGATAATAATAATCATAATCATAATAAAATAATTTAATTCAATTCAATTTTTCAATTCAATTTTATTTGTATAGCGCCAATTCATAACAGAAGTTATCTCAGGACACTTTTCAAATAGAGCAGGTCTAGACCGAACTCTTTAACATTAATTACAGAGACCCAACAGTACCACCATGAGCAAGACCTTGGAGACAAGGGCAAGGAAAAACTGCCTGTTAAAAGGCAGAAACCTAGGACAGATCCTTCGGCTCTAGGTGGGTGGTCGTCTGTCTCGACCAGTTGGGGTAAAAGAGAGAGAGACAGACAGACAGACAGGTGCACAGCAACAACAGTAGCAACAACTACACTAATAGTAGTGACTGATGATGAAGACCATGACAACAGCAACGATGGTTAGCAACAACAGTAACTGTAGCTATAATAACAGCAATAATATTAATACACAACACTAATATCAGTGATATTGGCAATTGTAGTCAAGCAGGACCATGGCAGGAGGCTCCACCAGGATCCATGGGAACCTGTGAGATGAGAAAGCACAAGAACTCCGGGGAAGAAGTGAAGTTAGTAACATGCATTAATGGAACATGAATGAGTGCAGAAAGAGAGAGGAAGAGAGGAGCTCAGTGCACCATGGGAACTCCCCCGATAGTCTAGGCCTATAGCAGCATAACTAAGGGATGGTTCAGGACTCACCTGATCCAGCCCTAACTATAAGCTTTATCAAAGAGGAATGTCTTAAGCCTACTCTTGAATGTGGTGAGGGTGTCTGCCTCCCGAACCACAACTGGAAGCTGGTTCCACAGGAGAGGAGCTTGGTAACTGAAGGCTCTGGCTCCTGTTCTACTTTTAGAGACTATAGGAACCACAAGTAGCCCAGCATTCAGAGAACGTAGTGTTCTAGAGGGGTAATAGGGTACTATGAGCTCTTTAAGATATGAAGGGACCTGACCATGAAGAGCTTTATAGGTGAGGAGGAGGATTTTAAATTCTATTCTACATTTTACAGGGAGTCAGTGCAGAGAAGCTAGTATAGGAGAGATTCAATTCAATTCAATTCAATTTTATTTGTATAGCGCCAATTCATAACAGAAGTTATCTCAGGACACTTTTCAAATAGAGCAGGTCTAGACTGAACTCTTTAACATTAATTACAGAGACCCAACAGTAACACCATGAGCAAGCACTTGGCGACAAGGGCAAGGAAAAACTGCCTGTTAAAAGGCAGAAACCTAGGACAGATCCTCCGGCTCTAGGTGCGTGGTCGTCTGTCTCGACCAGTTGGGGTGAGAGAGAGAGAGAGAGAGAGAGAGAGAGAGAGGCAGAGAGAGAAAGAGCGAGAGACAGACAGACAGACAGACAGACAGGTGCACAGCAACAACAGTATTGGTTGATATGATCTCTTTTTCTAGTTCCTGTCAGTACTCGTGCTGCAGCGTTCTGAATTAATTGGAGCGTTTTAATGGACTTATTGGGGCAACCTGATAATAAAGAGTTGCAGTAATCCAGCCTTGAAGTAACAAATGCATGGATTAGTTTTTCTGCATCTGTCTGTGATAGTATGTGTCTAATTTTTCTAATATAACGTAAATGAAAGAAGGCAGTCCTAGAGGTCTGCTTTATGTGGGAAATAAATGACAAATCCTAATCAAAGATAACTCCAAGATTCCTGACAGTGGCGCTAGAGGCCAAGTTAATGCCATCTAGAGTAACTTTATCTTAAGACAGTGAGTCTCTAAGGTTTTTGGGGCCAAGAATTTCGTTTAACATCAGAAAATTGCAGGTCATCCAGGATTTTATGTCCTTAAGACATGTTTGTAATTTAGATAATTGATTAATTTCATCGGGCTTGATTGATAGATATAACTGCGTATCATCTGCATAACAGTGAAAGTTAATGGAGTGATTCCTTATAATGTTGCCTAAAGGGAGCATATATAAAGTAAGCCCCAAAAACCTTGGAGACTCACTGTCTAAAGATATAGTTACTCTAGATGGCATTAACTTGGCCTCTAGCACCACTATCAGGAATCTTGGAGTTATCTTTGATCAGGATTTGTCTTTTAACTCCCACATAAAGCAGACCTCCAGGACTGCCTTCTTTCATTTATGTAATATTACAAAAATTAGACACATCCTATCACAGACAGATTCAGAAAAACTAATCCATGCATTTGTTACTTCAAGGCTGGATTACTGCAACTCTTTGTTATCAGGTTGCCCCAATAAGTCCATTAAAACGCTCCAATTAATTCAGAACGCTGCAGCACGAGTACTGACAGGAACTAGAAAAAGAGATCACATCTCTCCTGTACTAGCTTCTCTGCATTGGCTCCCTGTAAAGTGTAGAATAAAATTTAAAATCCTCCTCCTCACCTATAAAGCTCTTCATGGTCAGGCCCCTTCATATCTTAAAGAGCTCATAGTACCCTATTACCCCTCTAGAACACTACGTTCTCTGAATGCTGGGCTACTTGTGGTTCCTATAGTCTCTAAAAGTAGAACAGGAGCCAGAGCCTTCAGTTACCAAGCTCCTCTCCTGTGGAACCAGCTTCCAGTTGTGGTTCGGGAGGCAGACACCCTCTCCACATTCAAGAGTAGGTTTAAGACGTTCCTATTTGATAAAGCTTATAGTTAGGGCTGGATCAGGTGAGTCCTGAACCATCCCTTAGTTATGCTGCTATAGGCCTAGACTATCGGGGAGTTCCCATGGTGCACTGAGCTCCTCTCTTCCTCTGTCTTTCTGCACTCATTTATGTCCCATTAATGCATGTTACTAACTTCACTTCTTCCCCGGAGTTCTTGTGCTTTCTCGTCTCGCAGGTTCTTATCGATCCTGGTGGAGCCTCCTGCCATGGTCCTGCTAGATTGCCATTGCCAATACTGTTGTTGCTGTACACCTGTCTGTCTGTCTGTCTGTCTGTTTGTCTGTCTGTCTGTCTGTCTGTCTCTCTCTCACTCACCCCAACTGGTCGAGACAGACGACCACCCACCTAGAGCCGAAGGATGTGTCCTAGGTTTCTGCCTTTAAACAGGCAGTTTTTCCTTGCCCTTGTCGTCAAGTGCTTGCTCATGGTGGTACTGTTGGGTCTCTGTAAATAATGTTATAAAGAGTTCGGTCTAGACCTGCTCTATTTGAAAAGTGTCCTGAAATAACTTCTGTTATGAATTGGTACTATACAAATAAAATTGAATTGAATTGAATTATATTATAAAAGAAGCTCATGAAGTCATTTAAAGCAAGTTGTCCAGTTTGTCCTAAAACCTGAAATGTGAACATTGTCTCTGTCCTAATGAAGGTCTTGTGGAACTGTCCCAGTTTCCCTCCTCGTATGCTTCCAGTTTAAATATAATGAGACAAACTAATAAATATAATGAGACAGACTAATAAACATAATGAGACAAACTAATAAACATAATGAGACAAACAAATACATATAATGAGGAGAGTTTCTCCAGCCTGTTTATGTAATTTGTTTCAGGGCCGATTTAAAAAGTTCAATGTTTCTTTTTCTTTTTCAAACTTTGTTTTTTATTTGTCTTTTAATTTGATAAAGACAAAATAAACTCAATATTTGCATTTCGTGATGAAAATGCATGTGATTGCTGCATCTGCTGCTACCACTGCTCACAAAAAATTTATGGAAGAAGAAAAAGGAAAAGAATATTAAGCAAAACACAGAATATAACAATGTGTGATTGCTTGCAGCAATGTTGCAGCATTGACCTCTGTCCTGTATTTCCAGCACTGATCTATGTCCTGTATCTACAGCACTGATATCTGGAACTTAGTATTATTGTCAAATTGACTCAATCAAATCTCTATTAGCTGTCTGTGAAAGACAAATACTGTCAAATTATTGGACTTCACTAAAATGTACGAAATATAGTTAATATTAATAATCTTATTATTCTTACTATTGAATCAAACTAATGTGAATCAAATAAACAGTACAGACCTCTGACCTGTATGCTAACCTCTGTCCTCTGTAACTTAGTATTATCATGGAGCTACTGTCGGTAGAATTGTATGAAATCTTATACACACGTGCAATGTGGTTTTTCAGTATGTACAATATTCCCAAACTTCATTGCAATTCAATTCTGTCTTGAAGCATTATGGCTCTTTAAGTGCATTATTATTATTGTTGTTGTTGTTGTTGTTATTTAAATACAGTAAAGATAAATATCTTACCTAAATATAAAAGTTAAACAATGAATATTAAAAAATGTTCTCAATGATACCAATATCAATCAATAAATATACATTTGACAAACTTCAGTCAGTCTAAGTTTGTGCTGATATAAAAGGAGTGTGTGTGTGTCTGTGTGTATGTGTGTGTGTGTGTGTGTGTGTGTGTGTGTGTGCTGTAATCATCTTTCTCTCCTCTGATTGGTTCAGTCTCCCAGTGGGATGCAGTTACCATGGCAACAGGCATCTTGGAATCCATCAGACTTAGGATGAATGTTTGTCTGATTATTGATCAATTACTCAATACACTATATTGATAATATAATCTCTTTATAATAATATAATTTAATATATTATTGATCACAGAACACAAAGAACAGCAGACTGTTCAGTATTAAGAACATAGAACCAGTAAAGTCCTAATCCTGTCTGGTCTAAAACCGGGGTTCTGGTCTGAGGACTTCAGGGTTGCTAAGAGCGCGGTAGAAATATTTATAGAAATAAAATGTCAAATGGACAGGCAGTGTATTGATGATCAATGAAATCTTCTATGTTAAATTCTAATTTCTGTATATATCGGTTCATCTGTGTCAGGTGTTCTGACCAGTGAGAGGTTATTGGGATCTTTGGAGACATACACTGATTGGCCACATTATGAGCACTGGACTCAATATAAATAATGAAAGTAGAATCAATAATGAATAATAATCAGCTGTATTCAGTGTGTTTGTGGATGTTTCTGCTCTCCAAGGATTGATTGATTCATTGAATGATTTATATATCTCCTTCATTCTCTCCTTTCAGTTTCTCCAGGGTGCAATTTTCTAATTGTTTTTGAGGATAAACTGAATCTCGTTGGTTGTTGGATGGAATATATTGATGAGTGATAATGAAAATAATGATATAAATATTATTATTATTCCACTGACATCTTAATATTCAGTGAGACCTGTTCTGAATGTGTGAATGCTGATAAAACCATCAAACTGTCCTCAGATCAGCTAAATGTCACACACACACACACAGACACACACACACACACACACACACACACACACACACATGGTTTCCCTTTTATGTCAGCACAAACTCAGACTGACTGAAGTTAGTTTAACAAATTAAAACGCAGCCAGGAACCCAAACTGTAAAAACCTTTATTGATAATCACTGAACCTGTTGTTATAGAACAGTTCAGCGGTACAAAACATATTCTTTTACAAGAAAAGCAGAAATACATGAGAAATAAAACTAATCAATAACTAATTCAGTGATCAATAAATCAGGAGTGCACTGTACCACTGAAAGGTGGTAAAGTCTAGACCTGCTCTATTTGAAAAGTGTCCTGAGATCATTTCTCTTATATATATATATATTCTGTTAATAAAACTGTATTGAATTGTATTGCTGCCACCCGGGTTTACATTTACAGAATATATATGTATGTAGATATGTAATTTTGTTGGAGTGGGAAAAGAGGATTTTAACGACCTTGTAGCTATAAGGAGACCTTTATTTTGCTGGGGTCCTTCCTGTGTTTCAGGGGAAGCCGTATGTGTTTGACAGAGTCCTTCCTCCAAACACTGAACAGGTTCAAGTGTACGACACCTGTGCCAGACAGATCGTCAAAGGTCAGTACACCTGATTGTTAATCGTTATTAATACTATTTACATTGTAAATTGTATTGATGTTGCATGTACATTGCATACATGTACGTTGTATGTTGTATGTACATTGTATGTATGTTGTATATACATTGTAGTTGTATGTATGTTGTATGTACATTGTATGTACGTTGTATATAAATTGTAGTTGTATGTATGTTGTATGTACATTGCATATATGTTGTATGTACATTGTGCGTTGTAGGTACATTGCACGTTGTATGTACGTGGTATGTATGTTGTATGTAGCATATACATTGTATGTATTAACTACATTGTAGTTGTATGTACATTGTATGTTGTATGTACTTTGTATGTATGTTGTATGTAATTTGTAAATTGTATGTTGTATGTTGTATGTACGTTGCAAGTACATTGTAAGCTGTATGTATGTTGTATGTACATTGCATGTTGTGTTACATGTACATTGTATGTACATCATACGTTGTATGTATGTTGTATATATGTTGTATGTACATTGTAGATGTTATGTATGTTTATCGATGTTGTTTGTACATTGCATGTTGCATATACACGGGCGGCTCAGAGGCAGAGCAGGTCGTTCCTTAATCAGAAGGTTGTGGGTTCGATCCACGGCTCCTGGTGCCACATGTCGAAGTATCCTTGAGCAAGATACTGAACCCCAGATTGTTCCCGATGCCATGCATTGGTGTGTGTGAATGTGTATGAATGTTAGTTTCTGTTCGATGGACTTTGCCATCATCTGTGTGAATGTGTGTGAAAGGGTGAATGTGGCACGTAGTGTAAAAGCGCTTTGAGTGGTCGGAAGACTAGAAGGGTGCTATACAAGTACAGGTCCAGTTACCATTTACCATATACATTGTATGTATGTACGTTGTATGTCAGTGTATGAATTTACGTTGTATGTACATTGTATGTACATTGTACGTTGTATGTATGTTGCATGTACATTGTATGTATATTGTATGTTCATTGTATGTACAACTGTATGTTACGCTGTCGAAGGGATAAATACAGGAAATCTTTCCTGCCACATGCCATCACACTGTACAATAACAGCTAAAACTCTGGTCATAACAATCCAGCATCCAAGCACCTTATATGTTTTTACATAATCTGTTCACTGCACCTTATATTTTTACTTTGCACTACAATTATACCGCTTATTTATACATTTTTATTCATTTTTTATATTGCATTTTATATTGCTTTTTTGATATGTCTAGATTGTTCCTTTTACTTCATTGTGTTGTTACTGTGTGTAACGCTAATCTATCTATCTATCTATCTATCTATCTATCTATGTTGTATGTTCTGGTTGAAGCAGACGACCACCCACCTAGAGTCGGGGTCTGTCCAAGGTTTCTGCCTCTTAAATGGTAGTTTTTCCTTGCCGCCATCGCCAAGGTCTTGCGCATGCTGGTACTGTTGGGTCTCTGTAAACGTTATAAGGAGGAATTGAATTGAATTGAACTGCATGTACATTGTTTATACGCTCTATTTTAGTTATATGTTGCGTGTGTTTCAGATGTGTTGGGAGGATACAACGGGACCATATTTGCTTACGGTCAGACAGCGTCTGGAAAGACTCACACCATGGAGGTCAGTCAGATTCAGCTTAAATTGTGAAATCAGAATAAAAAACGTGAACGCAGGATATAAAAATATATAATATTTCATTCTTCAAACAGCTGTTTCTGTTTATCTTCTCCCTGTCTCTTTAAAGCCGTTAAATTCTTTCGTGTATCTGATGCATTTAGTCTGACCTTTTCTGTTAAAATAATGTTTTTATTACATTTTCCAGGGGAACCTGCACGACCCTCGTCTGATGGGAATCATCCCCCGTATCTCCAGAGACATCTTTGACCACATCTACTCCATGGATGAGAACCTGGAGTTCCACATCAAGGTGATGATGTCATTGTCACACTGATTACATCATCAGTCAGGAGCCATGTGCATCAAAATATGACTTATTAAAAAATCTTGTTTTATGTTTTAATTAGAATTAAAATGGGTCTCATTCATACACCAACTATTCAAATATTCTTTTTGGACCTCTGGGACTCCGTAGCTTCCTTTTATTACAGATATTTAGACTTTGCTGTTTCCTCTGTCCATATATAGTCCAAACTGATCTGTGATCAGACGTCCTGCAGAGAAAGCAGTGAGGCGTTCATAGGCCCACCTGCTCTCCATATGTTCACTGTTCACCAGCACTCACAAATAAATATCAGCACTTCTTTATTGACGTCAACAAACAAGTAATCATCAACAGAAATCTACTGTTGGTGTAAAGATTACAGTATTTATCATTTTACAGTCTTTAGATTGATAGAAAAACTAATCAATTTAAAGTTCAGTTTGACCGTTTTATAATGTAGACAGTGTTATTAAAGGATTAATTGTGTCATCTAATAAGATAATGTAATAAGGGCTGTTAAAAATCATATATCATCACTCACTCAGAAATTTTATTATTTCATGACCATTTCATTGAAATATGTTTTAAAATTTGGATGTATTTTTATACATTAACTTAAGGTTACTGATTCAGTTCAAACCTGAACAATTCAATTCAATTCAATTCAATTTTATTTGTATAGCGCCAATTCATAACAGAAGTTATCTCAGGACACTTTTCAAATAGAGCAGGTCTACCGAACTCTTTAAAACATTAATTACAGAGACCCAACAGTACCACCATGAGCAAGCACTTGGCGACAAGGGCAAGGAAAAACTGCCTGTTAATTAATTAACAGGCAGAAACCTAGGACAGATCCTTTGGCTCTAGGTGGGTGGTCGTCTGTCTCGACCAGTTGGGGTGAGAGAGAGAGAGAGAGAGAGAGAGAGAGAGAGAGACAGACAGACAGACAGACAGGTGCACAGCAACAACAGTATTGGCAATGGCAATCTAGCAGGACCATGGCAGGAGGCTCCACCAGGATCGATAAGAACCTGCGAGACGAGAAAGCGCAAGAACTCCGGGGAAGAAGTGAAGTTAGTAACATGCATTAATGGAACATGAATGAATGCAGAAAGAGAGAGGAAGAGAGGAGCTCAGTGCATCATGGGAAATCCCCCGATAGTCTAGGCCTATAGCAGCATAACTAAGGGATGGTTCAGGACTCACCTGATCCAGCCCTAACTATAAGCTTTATCAAAGAGGAATGTCTTAAGCCTACTCTTGAATGTGGTGAGGGTGTCTGCCTCCCGAACCACAACTGGAAGCTGGTTCCACAGGAGAGGAGCTTGGTAACTGAAGGCTCTGGCTCCTGTTCTACTTTTAGAGACTATATTCAATTTTATTTGTATAGCGCCAATTATAGGAACCACATGTAGCCCAGCATTCAGAGAACGTAGTGTTCTAGAGGGGTAATAGGGTACTATGAGCTCTTTAAGATATGAAGGGGCCTGACCATGAAGAGCTTTATAGGTGAGGAGGAGGATTTTAAATTCTATTCTACATTTTACAGGGAGCCAATGCAGAGAAGCTAGTACAGGAGAGATGTGATCTCTTTTTCTAGTTTGTGTCAGTACTCGTGCTGCAACGTTCTGAATTAATTGGAGCGTTTTAATGGACTTATTGGGGCAACCTGATAATAAAGAGTTGCAGTAATCCAGCCTTGAAGTAACAAATGCATGGATTGGTTTTTCTGCATCTGTCTGTGATAGAATGTGTCTAATTTTTGTAATATTACGTAAATGAAAGAAGGCAGTCCTGGAGGTCTGCTTCATGTGGGAGTTAAATGACAAATCCTGATCAAAGATAACTCCAAGATTCATTCTTATCTTTGGTTCTAAAGGAGAAAAATGACATATTATAATAATGTATTTATTATATGGATTATAGTAATATATTTCAGTAACATAAAGTAATAATTGCTAATGAACCTGTGTGTGTGTGTGAATCTGTCTTTTTCTTTGCAGGTTTCTTATTTTGAAATTTATCTGGATAAAATCAGAGACTTACTGGATGGTGAGGAAAACACCATAAATATAACATATTTATTATGTATTTATATATAATTTGAAATAATATTTAAAATCAAAAGTCTCTGTGTTGACAAGGATCCTGCTGATTCATGTTTCAGTGTCAAAGACGAACCTTGCCGTACACGAGGACAAAAACAGGGTTCCTTTTGTCAAGGTATCTGCTCTTTATAATTTAATTCTGCAGTATCAGTACCACAGTATCAGTACTGCAGTACTTTATTGATGTGTATTTCCTGTCAGGGCTGCACTGAGCGTTTTGTCTCCAGTCCTGATGAGGTGATGGACGTCATCGATGAAGGAAAAGCAAACAGACACGTCGCTGTCACCAGTGAGTCTCTGATTTTACTACTAATACTATGATACTACTACTTGTACTATTACTACTACAAACTGTTCAGACTATGAATAGAATCACGATATCAGGATCAAAATCAGGATATTGTTTGTTTATATTACGGCTGTAATAAGCACTGCGCTACAGTCACTAATGACTTATTACTACCTGTGGCCTGTGTTAGTATAAGAAGTATTAAAATGTATTTCTTTGTCCCTGCAGACATGAATGAGCACAGCTCTCGCAGTCACAGTATTTTTCTGATCAACATCAAGCAGGAGAACGTGGAGACAGAGATGAAGCTGTCAGGGAAACTTTACCTGGTGGACCTGGCAGGCAGCGAGAAGGTCATACTGCTAATTTATTCATCCGTGCCATCACAACACTACTGGCTGCTTTTAAAACAGCGTGGACTACATTTAATTGGCTTCTTAAAGATTATTGACAAAAAAGAAACAAAATAAAACCCACCAAGACTGTCTCTGTTAGTCTTTCCAACAATCACCAACTCTGGTTGCTGGAAATAAATCCTTAATTCACAGACGTAGATGATAAAAACAGCAGTTTCACAGAAAGGATGCGTTAAGGGTTGGGGATGGGATTTGGGGTAGGGTTACCTTAACATGATGATGATGATGATAATGATGATGATGATGATGATGATGTTGTTGTTCAGGTGAGTAAAACAGGAGCAGAAGGCGCGGTGTTGGACGAAGCCAAGAACATCAACAAGTCTCTGTCTGCTCTCGGGAACGTCATCGCTGCTCTCAGTGAAGGAACGGTGAGAGTTCAGTTTCTCAGTTTCAGTTATCTCAGAATTAAAACTGTTGTGTTGCTGTGAGATGTTGTCTGTGTCTTATTTGTCATGTGTTCATAGAAAACCCACGTCCCGTACAGAGACAGTAAGATGACTCGAATCCTGCAGGACTCTTTGGGAGGAAACTGTCGAACCACCATCATCATCTGCTGCTCTCCGTCTGTTTACAACGAGGCTGAAACCAAGTCCACCCTCATGTTTGGACAGAGGTACTGAGCTCTGAGTTTGTCCGTCAGTCCAACACTTTAACAACATGTCTATATGTCTCAATGACTACAAACTGGTTTACTATGCCCTTTGTAGTTGACGCAGGTAGGACTGGGTACCAAACTTTGATACTTTTATGACACCGACCATATTGTGTGGATAATACCAAATATTAAAACAATTACAGAATTTCAATACCATCGCAGTTAAACTCATCAGTGTCAGTACGCCCACACAGCATGCAACAGGCTTCACAATCAGTACATTCTCTTTCTTCTTCTTTGGGTTAGTCTAGACATATTGCTGCCATACTATTCTTAATGTTTCTTTGACAGTTATTTATAGTATTGTCCAATACTGTACATATATTCAGTTTTATTTCATCATGTTTGTCCAGTTAGCAGTTTGAATAAAGAGTGAAAACAGTTTCTCCACCTGCTCCAGGTCTTGGAAAAGCTTTCTCTTTTGACATGAGTCATTGTACCGTAATGTATAATGGTCCACCAGTGTTCATTGCATTTGGTTTACAGGTCCTTCAGGTCCTTTAGGTCCTTCAGTCTCCTGTTTGTGACTGTGACAGCGGAAGTTGTGTTGTACGTCCAGGCACCTTTTTGCAGGATCCACAGTGTCAGCTACCAACAGGCCTACTCTTCATCTTGGCCTTGCCACAGAAAGAGCAGCTGTATTTAGCATGCTGGGAGATTAAAATTTTCTCCACCATCTTCCTCAATGACAGATGAAAATAAACTTTTTACTGGGTGTGGTTGGTTGAGGAGTTTTTTTTATTACATCGTACCCAGTTGCCCCATCAATCATTTTCGTTGGGGAGCGAGAAGTGTATGAACTGACTACATTATCTCAGGTTGGACTGAAGAGGGACAGATTTATACTTTTTGGCCTTTGACTTAGTTATTGTAATTCTGGTTGTTTTATGGTGGAGGCAGCTGAGGTTTCTGCCTCTTTAAAGGAAGTTTTTCCTTGCCACTGTCGCCAAGGTCTTGCTCATGGTGGTACTGTTAGGTCTCTGTAAATGTTATAAGGAGTTCGGTCTTGCTCATGGTGGGAATGTCCATGCTGTCAGTGCTTCTGCTGCTTCTGTTAGGAATCACCATCATCACATCTCGCTTCACACATTATGACATCAGTTCATCCATGTCCACCATCTCTCATCTGTCAGACAGCACACTGTCTGTGTATGTGAGAACCACTTCCTGTGTTGTTTTTGTGTTTTAGAGCTAAAACCATAAAGAACACAGTTTCTGTGAACCTGGAGCTGACCGCTGAGGAGTGGAAGAAGAAGTATGAGAAGGAGAAAGAAAAAAACAGGAGTCTGAACATCATTATACAGAAACTGGAGAATGAGCTGAAACGCTGGAGGAAAGGTAAATTAAAAAAAAATTAAAAAAGGTCTACCTGGAATGTGAGCTTGCAGGTGTTAAACAGAGAGCAGCACGCTGGATGGTGTTGCAACAGACAGGGGCAACTTTTTTTCCAGACTACCCTGATCTGTGCTTTGGTTTCCAGAGAGTCAAAACCAATACAATGGTTTTCTCTGAGTTCTCTGGAATATTTGTTTAGCCTTTCTTAACCTGTCCAGGTGAGTCTGTGCCTGTGGAGGAGCAGCTGAGCAGCAAAAACAAAAAAAGCAGCAGCAGTGAGACGACCGCAGTGATTGACAGCTTGGCCCTGCCTCCTGTCCCTCTGTCAGACGAAGAGAAGACACAGTATGAGACTCTCATCAGCGACCTGTACCATCAGCTGGATGACAAGGTGAGTTTTAGCTAATATCACCTGAATTATAAATTGAGTCATACCTGTACCAGTCTGTGAAACATTACACACATGCTGACTCCTGTTTCAGGATGATGAGATTAACCATCACAGTCAGACAGCCGAGAAATTCAAACAACAGCTGATCGATCAGGACGAGGTGAGTCTCACCTGAACTTTACAACCTCCACTGTATATCTAACATCTGTCAGCGTAACCATAATCCCTCCACCTTTTCATAATCCAGCTGTTGCTGTCGAGCCGCCAGGACTACGAGCGTCTACAGGACGAATTATCACGGCTGCAAAGGGACAGTGACTCAGCCAAAGAGGAGGTAAAGGAGGTGCTGCAGGCACTGGAGGAGCTTGCCGTCAACTACGACCACAAGAGCCAAGAGGTGGAGAACAAAAACCGCTGCAATGAACAGCTGAACGAGGAGCTTGCCAACAAAACTGTGAGTCCACATAAAGAAACAAGATTCAGGATGGTCGGCTGGTAAGATGGTAGATAGTAGAATAATAGGATGGCAGGAGGATAGTATAGTGGGATGTTAGGACATTAGGATGGTAGGATAGTAGGATAGTAGCATAGTAGGATGGCAGGATAGTTCGATAGTAGGATAATAGGGTTGTAGGATAGTAGCATAGTGGGATGTTAGGATATTAGGATAGTAGGATGCTAGAAGTAGAATAGTAGGATAGTAGGGTGGTAGAATAGTAGGACATTAGGATGGTAGGATAGTAGGATAATAGGATGGTGGGACATTAGAATGGTAGAAGTAGGATAGTAGGGTGGTAGAATAGTAGGGCATTAGGATGGCAGGATAGTAGGATAATAGGGTGGTAGGATAGTAGCATAGTGGGATGTTAGGATGGTAGGATAGTAGGATGGTAGAAGTAGAATAGTAGGATAGTAGGGTGGTAGAATAGTTGGACATTAGGATGGTAGGATGGCAGGATGGTAGGATAATAGGATGGCAGGATGGTAGGATAATAGGATGGTAGGACATTAGAATGGTAGGATAGTAGGATGGTAGGATAGTAGGCCTTTAGGAAGGTAGGACGGTAGGATGGTAGAACATTAAGATGGTACAATATTAGGATGGTAGGATAGTAGGATGGTATGACATTAGGATGGTAGCATAGTGGGATGTTAGGGCATTAGGGTGGTTGGGTGGTAGGATGGTAGGACATTAGAATGGTAGAAGTAGAATAGTAGGATAGTAGGGTGGTAGGATATAAGGATGGTAGGATGACCACCCACCTAGAGCCGAAGGGTCTGTCCTAGGTTTTTGCCTCGTCGCCAAGTGCTTGCTCATGGTGGGAACTGTTGGGTCTCTGTAAATAATGTTATAAAGAGTTCGGTCTAGACCTGCTCTATTTGAAAAGCGTCCTGAGATAACTTCTGTTATGAATTGGTGCTATACAAATAAAATTGAATTGAATTGAATAGGACATTAGGTTGGTACAATATTAGGATAGTAGGATGGTAGGACTTTAGGATGGTAGGACATTTGGACATGACGATGTTGGCATTCTCGTTCTCTGTCTGAGCTGTGTATATTTTGTAATGGTCAGCTCTTGTTCTTTTCTTTGCAGGTGAATCTGGAGGCGGTTCAGAGGGAACTGTTGACGCTGCAGGAGATCAGTTCTCATCATAAGAAGAGGTCAGCAGACATCCTCAGTCTGCTGCTCAGAGACCTCAGTGAGATTGGCAGCGTTCTTGGTACCACCGACCTCAAAGCTGTAAGACTAAAACTGTTCACATTTACCTAATCATACTCTTAACGCTCATTTACATGTCTACATAATGACGATCAGTTTCATTATTGATTAATGAAATTACATTGAATTCATATAAATAAATTAAAGGTAATGAATCATCACTTCCCAGAATCCAAAAAGAGTCCACTCACTGTGCAATTAATAATCTACTCATACATACCTGGACACTCTTCTTCTTCTTTTTTTTTTTTAACTTAATCCACCACTTAAGTGCAATAATTTAATTTGTATAATAACACAATGCCATATACAGTCCTATATATTTATCTTTATTTATCTATATTTATCCTCTATACAGTTCTCTACATTTATCTTATTTGATTTTATTTTCTGTGAATTTTATTTTACTTCTATTCTTATCTCTACTTTCTATACTTAACAAAGAGTTTATTGTTTACTGTTTATTATTGTTTACTTTCTATATTTAGCTAAGAGTTATTGTTTACTGTTTATTGTTTTCTTTCTATATTTAGCTAAGAGTTTATTGTTTATCTTATACTGTATTTTTTATACTGTATTTTTATACCTCTTCTATTTTCTGTACAAGTGTTCTTGTAAGCTGCTGGAAATCCAATTTCCTTGTGGGAGTCGTCCCAAAGGGATCAATAGAGAAGTCTAAGTCTAAAATGACATTCAGGTTTATTAAAACCCAAAGACATTTAGTTTTCTATAATTAATGATAATGAACAGCAGAAAATACATTTTAGCAAATGTTTAAAGGTTTAACATTTTTGTGCCAGGTTCAACTATAGTGATGTGAATTCTGTCAACCAATAAGAACCCATCCATAGAGCTGAACGGAGAGCTGGAGAGTAAAACTCTCTCTCTCTCTTCAGATGACTGAGATGAGTGGAGTGATGGAAGAGGAGTTCACCACTGCTCGTCTCTACGTCAGTAAGATGAAGTCGGAGGTGAAATCTCTGGTGAACCGCAGCAAGCAGCTGGAGGTCAACCTGACAGAGAACATGTGCAGGATGGAGGCCACGGAGAAGGAGCTCAACACCGGTCAGCTGCTTGTCTCACAGGTAACATTCACCTGATTTCATGGATAAATGATAATATATGTGTGGATTATTTGCACAGTTGACATTGAGGGGATGTTATTGTTACCATTATGACAACATGTAAACAGATATAGGCTGAAAAGTTGTAGCTTACAGCTAACAACATTATGCTTCCTGTTTACATTTCCGTATCATGGGGATTAGGGTTCTAAAACATATGACCATTAATATTAACCTTTTTGTGTTGTATTCATATATTTGTATTTCATCACTGAGACTCAAAAAGTGTAATTAATATTGTTCTTATATTCCTGAACTCTCTATTATCTATAATTAAGATATCTATCTATTATTAAGTAAAAACAGACATTTATTAAGTAAAACTATTTTAAAGTACATTAATAGACACGCAGTCTTGATTTTGTATCAGGGGTCCATAGTGTCAGCCTTTATAAACTCTCGGTAATGGCCTTAAAAAATTCAAATGTATCAAATAGTTAAACTTTAATTATTAAATGATAGCTAGATTAAACTCCATCAAACATCTTAAAGTGACATCTCATTAAGATGTCACGTCAGGGCGGCTGTGGCAGGGCGGGTCGTTCCTTAATCGATGGTTGTGGGTTCAATCCCCGGCTCCTGATGCCACATGTCGAAGTATACTTGAGCAAGATACTGAACCCCAAATTGCTCCCAATGCTGTGCATTGGTGTGTGAATGTATATGAATGTTAGTTTCTGTTCGATGGACTTTGCCATCACTGTGTGAATTTGTGTGAAAGGGTGAATGTGGCACGTAGTGTAAAAGCACTTTGAGTGGTTGGGAGACTAGAAAGGCGCTGTACAAGTACAGGTCCATTTACCATTTACCATTAAAAAGACCTTGTCGCTCTTAACAATAATTAAGCATCTTGTGTTAGCTTTTTCTTCTTTTTCTTCTTCTTCTTCTTCTTCTTATTAATGCTAATTAAGCTTCCTGTGTTTGTTGTACTATTATTATTATTGTTATTATTGATACTAATGTCCTGTTTTTGACATTGCAGCTCCAGGCAAAGATTGGCTCTCTGACAGACGACCTGCTGAAGGTGGAACAGAAGAAGAGGAAGCTGGAGGAGAGTCAGGACTCTCTGATGGAGGAGATCGCCAAACTCCATGCTCAAGGTCACACACTGTCACCATGGTTACAGGAAACACTGCTCTTTAATTGGCTGGCAGAAGAGATAATCGCAGTTTGTTGTGTGTGTGTTCAGGTCAGATGCATGAGGTAACGGTGATGGACAAAGAAAAGGAACACATGAGCCGACTGAAAGATGCAGTTGAGATGAAGGTAACTGATGACTGATCATATGCTCAACCATCATTTGACACATCGTTGATTTTATTCTGTATTTTTATTTCACAAACCAACAATGAGTTAAATCTGGAGTTACACAGAGGTCGAGTTTAAGTCCCTTATTGTTCCTTGTTTAGATCAATGATCTACCAAATGTTTGTAAACTGATATCTAATATTTGATCTTTACTTAATATCCTCACTGTTGTTCTAAGTGACTTAAAGTCTGTTGGCAGACTCAAACCAACACTGAAAAAAAAAGTGAGTTAAGTCCAATTCAGTCCCAACATTCACTAGATAATTTGTCGCGTCCTAGAATATGAATAAAAACAGTAGGGACAGTAAGATTTTCCTATTTGATTAGTAGTCATTGTAATGCGGTAGCGGTAATGATTGTGAATCAGAACAACCAGCAAGGAGACTGAACCTTTAATTCAATTCAATTCAATTAAATTTTATTTGTATAGCGCCAATTCATAACAGAAGTTATCTCAGGACACTTTTCAAATAGAGCAGGTCTAGACCGAACTCTTTAAAACATTACCACCATGAGCAAATACTTGACGACAAGGGCAAGGAAAAACTGCCTGTTTAAAGGCAGAAACCTAGGACAGATCCTTCGGCTCTAGGTGGGTGGTCGTCTGTCTCGACCAGTTGGGGTGAGAGAGAGAGACAGACAGACAGGTGCACAGCAACAACAGTATTGGCAATGGCAATCTAGCAGGACCATGGCAGGAGGCTCCACCAGGATCGACAAGAACCTGCGAGACGAGAAAGCACAAGAATTCCGGGGAAGAAGTGAAGTTAGTAACATGCATTAATGGGACATGAATGAGTGCAGAAAGAGAGAGGAAGAGAGGAGCTCAGTGCACCATGGGAAATCCCCCGATAGTCTAGGCCTATAGCAGCATAACTAAGGGATGGTTCAGGACTCACCTGATCCAGCCCTAACTATAAGCTTTATCAAAGAGGAATGTTAAGCCTACTCTTGAATGTGGTGAGGGTGTCTGCCTCCCGAACCACAACTGGAAGCTGGAAGATATGAAGGGGCCTGACCATGACAAGCTTTATAGGTGAGGAGGAGGATTTTAAATTCTATTCTACATTTTACAGGGAGCCAGTGCAGAGAAGCTAGTACAGGAGAGATGTGATCTCTTTTTCTAGTTCCTGTCAGTACTCGTGCTGCAGCGTTCTGAATTAATTGGAGCATTTTAATTGCAGAAAATTGCAGCTCATCCAGGATTTTATGTCCTTAAGACATGTTTGTAATTCAGATAATTGATTCATTTCATCGGGCTTAATCGATAGATATAACTGCGTAACATGTGCATAAGTTAATGGAGTGATTCCTAATAATGTTGCCTCAACGATCTGATAAGTATGACTTAAACCAGCTTAGTGCGATTCCGTTTTATTTTGTTTTATTCCAACACAGTGTAACATCACACAGTCTGGTTGTTCAACACACACAGAATAAATAACTTCCAACTTCACTGAAACTAATCCTGGCTGATCGATACGATTGATGGTGGATAACGTTAACAGTTACTGACTAATTAACTGGCAACAAACTGGATCCTCTTCCTCCATTTCATTCCTCTCCTGTTGCTGCCTGAACCCGCCGGGTCTTCATCCCCAGAGTCAGAGTCCTGGTTGGAGTTTCGATGCTCATTCGGGCCCTGCTCCGGTTCTGTGGCTCATTCGGGCCCTGCTCCCCGGCAGTATTCCCTGCTGGGTCCCTCTGCTGCTATGCTAGTAGTGTTTAAACTCCCCCCTGTCCTTCCAGCTCCCAGTCGGGGTACAGACCGCTAACGGGACCCTAGCTAACAGCAGCTAGTACAGTTAGCATATGCAGTAGTGCAGCGGTAAGAGACTTCCTGTGTTACAAGAGAAAAGGTCCCTGTTGCTGGCTTTAGAGAACTGAAGTGTTCCTGCTGTGTGTTCTGTAGAGAACTCTAGAGGAACAGATGGAGAACCACAGAGAAGTCCATCAGAAACAACTGAGTCGCCTCCGGGACGAGATTGAGCAGAAGCAGAGAAACGTCGACCAACTCAAAGAGTGCGTTATTAATTATGACAATAACTGATTTGTTCAGTCTGTTTTGAGGCAGCAGCTGTACATTGTACACAGTGGAATATGATTTAATGTCTGAATAAACGTTTGTTTCAGTTTGAATCAGGCTCTGCAGCTGGAGAACAGGAAGCTTCAGTCCGACTTTGACAAACTGAGAGCTGAGGATCAGAACAAAGACCACAAACTCCAAAAACTGCTGTAAGTTTGTCCCTCTGTGCTCACTGTAGATACTCTAGACTGGCTTCTCTGGTGCAGTTACACAAACATCCATCAGTCAGTGTTTGCACCTGTTTTTATTCACATTTTCAGTCTGCCTTTCAGAGTGGATATCTCCAAACTAATGGCAGCAACTGGAGGATGAGCTCCACCAGCTGTTTAATTCAGTTCAATTTTAGCTGTATAGGGACAATTCAGTTATCTCAGGACATTTTTCCAATAGAGCAAGTCTAGACAATCAAGAAACAAACATTCACTCATGTTTGAGCTTCATTCGGATGGAAACTTGACTATAATGATAATATCATCTGTTTTATGAAATTCTCTTCATTATGTAGTCTAATGATAATAGTGATAATTAAACCCAGACTCTGTTTGTGTGATTCAGGTTCCTGAATGAGAAGAGAGAACAAGCCAAAGAGGACCTGAAGGGTCTGGAGGAGACTGTGGTACTTTTATTATTGATTATTCAATCATTCCTTGTATCTTTGTCTGCAGCTGTGACAGGTCAGAGATCAGCTAAGTTATTATCTTCCAACAGGCCAAAGAGCTTCAGACACTGAACAATCTTCGTAAAGTCTTCATCGAGGACATCAGCACTCGAGTCAAGAATGTAAGAAAACCACTAGTCAGTCCTGATCAGTCCAGACTGAAGGTGATGGACTGATTATCCTCTGTAGCATATCTGATCAAACATCACAGAATCCCTGGAAGTTATTGAACAGTCCACATGGCTTTGGTCGGCAGCATTGAGAGCCTTGGGAAGATCAACCAACAGTACAGCACAGTGCTGTCTGATATCAGCTAATACAAGTGTAGACTGCTGTGGCCGGAGAGTTACAGTTCAGTAAGCACTGTTAACTGGAGCTTTAGTTTATGTTGTTACTTGTGTTCATTTTATATTATACATTATACATTTAGTCCTCGGATTAAAAGTTCCTATTTTAGTCTTTGTGATTAATTACATTTTCTTTATTTTGAACCAACCTGATTCAACAATTGAGGCCCTCGGATGATAGTAACACACTGACTCAGCAACAAATATGTTTCTGAGAAATAAGAACAAGAAAATCTGTGTACTATATTTGCATACAACACATGCTGAGTAGAGATTTTATACATAAAATATTGGTTTAATAAAAGTTTCTCTCTCTGCTGCATTATATAATTACAGCATAATAGTATAAGTGATCCAGGTAATCAGAAGTTATTGTTTCCAGTACTGAGGATCTGTAATGATTACAACAAACAGCAGGTGTCATAATATGAACCAGTCACAGTCCCACACATATATGTTCCGATAACCAGCAGTTTGTCTCTTTGTGACAACTAAAACCAGTGTATGAGTGTCACCAGATGAAGTCTTTATCTTCAGAACAACCGTCCTGAGCAGTGTGAGTGCAGAGTTGGGGTAGAATGGTTTTTGTCGGTGCGACAGACCAGTTTGAGATGTTTATTTAAGGATCATTCTGTGTCTTCGTAAAATGTTTGATGGATGTCAGTCAGTGATAAACCCGAATATCAACGTTGTTTCTTCTTTAAAAAGAGTTCAGAGAACGACTGTGACGAGGCCGGAGGCAGTCTGGCTCAGAGACAGAGGATCATTTTCTTAGAAAACAACCTGGAGCAACTCAGCAAGGTCCACAAACAGGTCAGTGCACAATAGATACTGATGCTCACCTGTTAATCTTTATCTTCTCTTAACATAACATTATCATGCTAACAGACTGGAGCCTCAGTGAATTGAACCCTTTGTGTTTTCCAGCTGGTGCGGGACAACGCTGACCTTCGCTGTGAGCTGCCCAAGCTGGAGAAGCGTCTTCGGGCCACAGCAGAGCGAGTGAAGGCTCTGGAAACCGCTCTTAGAGATGCCAAGGAGTCGGGCGTAAGGGACCGCAAACGCTACCAACAGGAAGTGGATCGAATCAAAGAGGCTGTCCGGTCCAAGAATGTCTCCAGGAGAGGACACTTTGCTCAGATAGGTGAGAAAATGGTGGTTACAGTACACAATGATGAACGTCCTCTGAGGAGCTGGGATGAAATCAGTGTAAGGTTTTGTCCTGATGGTGGTGCTGGAGGAAGTTCAGGAGGTCCAGATGAGTTGTTCTGAACCTTTAAAGATCTGATGTGTCAGACTCGCTCAACTACTGACTCGTCTAATTCAATTCAATTCAATTCAATTTTATTTGTATAGCGCCAATTCATAACAGAAGTTATCTCAGGACACTTTTCAAATAGAGCAGGTCTAGACCGAACTCTTTAAAACATTAATTACAGAGACCCAACAGTATCACCATGAGCAAGCACTTGACGACCAGGGCAAGGAAAAACTGCCTGTTAAAAGGCAGAAACCTAGGACAGATCCTTTGGCTCTAGGTGGCTGGTCGTCTGTCTCGACCAGTTGGGGTGAGAGAGAGAGACAGAGAGAGAGAGAGCGAGAGACAGACAGACAGACAGACAGACAGACAGGTGCACAGCAACAACAGTATTGGCAATGGCAATCTAGCAGGACCATGGCAGGAGGCTCCACCAGGATCGATAAGAACCTGCGAGACGAGAAAGCACAAGAACTCCGGGGAAGAAGTGAAGTTAGTAACATGCATTAATGGAACATGAATGAGTGCAGAAAGAGAGAGGAAGAGAGGAGCTCAGTGCACCATGGGAAATCCCCCGATAGTCTAGGCCTCTAGCAGCATAACTAAGGGATGGTTCAGGACTCACCTGATCCAGTCCTAACTATAAGCTTTATCAAAGAGGAATGTCTTAAGCCTACTCTTGAATGTGGTGAGGGTGTCTGCCTCCCGAACCACAACTGGAAGCTGGTTCCACAGGAGAGGAGCTTGGTAACTGAAGGCTCTGGCTCCTGTTCTACTTTTAGAGACTATAGGAACCACAAGTAGCCCAGCATTCAGAGAACGTAGTGTTCTAGTGGGGTAAAGGGTACTATGAGCTCTTTAAGATATGAAGGGGCCTGACCATGAAGAGCTTTAGAGGTGAGGAGGAGGATTTTAAATTCTATTCTATATTTTACAGGGAGCCAATGCAGAGCTAGTACAGGAGAGATATGATCTCTTTTTCTAGTTCCTGTCAGTACTTGTGCTGCAGCGTTCTGAATTAATTGGAGCGTTTTAATGGACTTATTGGAGCAAACTGATAATAAAGAGTTGCAGTAATCCAGCCTTGAAGTAACAAATGCATGGATTAGTTTTTCTGCATCTGTCTGTGATAGTATGTGTCTAATTTTTGTAATATTACGTAAATGAAAGAAGGCAGTCCTAGAGGTCTGCTTTATGTGGGAGTTAAATGACAAATCCTGATCAAAGATAACTCCAAGATTCCTGACAGTGGTGCTAGAGGCCAAGTTAATGCCATCTAGAGTAACTAAATCTTTAGACAGTGAGTCTCCAAGGTTTTTGGGGCCAAGAACAAGAATTTCGTTTCGAGTTTAACATCAGAAAATTGCAGGTCATCCAGGATTTTATGTCCTTAAGACATGTTTGTAATTTAGATAATTGATTAATTTCATCGGGTTTGATTGATAGATATAACTGCGTATCATCTGCATAACAGTGAAAGTTAATGGAGTGATTCCTAATAATGTTGCCTAAAGGGAGCATATATAAAGTAAATAGTATTGGTCCAAGTACAGAACCTTGTGGAACTCCATGACTAACTGTAGTATTTATTGAAGATTCATCGTTAACATGTACAAACTGCGAGCGATCTGATAAGTATGACTTAAACCAGCTTAGTGCTGTTCCTTTAATGCCAATTTGATGCTCAAGTCTCTGTAAAAGAGTATTATGGTCAATGGTGTCAAATGCAGCACTAAGATCTAATAATACAAGTACAGAGACAAGTCCATTGTCAGAAGCAATCAGAAGGTCATTATTAACTTTAACCAGAGCTGTCTCTGTGCTGTGATGAACTCTAAATCCTGACTGAAAATCCTCAAATAAACTATTGTTATGTAGAAAGTCACACAACTCTTTGGCGACTACTTTCTCCAGAATCTTAGAGAGGAAGGGGAGGTTAGAAATTGGTCTATAGTTGGCTAAAACCCCTGGGTCAAGAGTGGGCTTTTTAAGAAGGGGTTTAATTACAGCTACTTTAAAGGACTGTGGTACATATCCTGATAATAAAGAAAGATTAATCATATCCAGTAAAGAAGTGCCAATTAAGGGAAAAACTTCTTTAAGCAGCCTAGTCCCTGAACTTGGAGAGCCACTGATAACTGTTGATGGCAGTTGGTGATTCATTTTCTCTCTAATAGTAATAATTTTATTATAGAAGAAGCTCATGAAGTCATTGCTACTTAAGTTTATGGGGATATGTGGCTCAATAGAGTTGTGACTCTCTGTCAGCCTGGCTACAGTGCTGAAGAGGAACCTAGGGTTATTCTTATTTTCTTCTATTAGTGCTGAGTAATAGGCTCCTCTGGCATTACAGAGGGCCTTTCTATAAGTTTTAAGATTATCATGCCAAATTGAGCGATATTCTGATCATTTGGAAGAGCGCCATTTCCTTTCAGATTTCCTAGCTATTTGTTTTAACTGGCGGGTTTGGTGGTTGTACCACGGTGCTAGTCTCCTATGTTTTAATAATTTCCTTTTTATTCTATTATTATTTTTTCATCTGTCTATATCTGTGTAGCCAAACCAATCAGAGCGGGACATCAGCACCATCAGCACCCGTCCCCCTCTGCATCCGTCAGGCCAACCGTCCGAGGAGGAGGAGCAACGTCCAGTCCACGTCATCACTCCTCCCGGCAGCAACCACAGCAACCACAACCCCATCAAAGCCACAGCAAGTAAGGTACAGGTGAGTCATAACAACAACAACAACAACAACATGGGAACATCATCAACCACAGCAGAGAGCAGATGTTTTGGCTCCACCCTGAAGGTTTGGGAATGATGTTTTCTGATGTCAGTGTATGTTTATTGACACATGAACAGTTTAATGATCAGTTTTGTAGTCCGTATAAATAACGGTTGATTACTTCCTGTCTTCACAGGCAGCACACGACTCCGGATCAGTTTCCTTTTCTGTGGATTTGGGGATTTTGGAACTCCAATGCTCTCACCACTCTGCCTTTACTGGAACCGTTTCTACTACTTTCCACCTTAACAGCCAAAAAGTGCTTTCTTTCCTTCTCTGATTCTGTTCAACTGTCTGACCAGATAAGTTCAGCCAGAGTTTAATGTGTTAAAAAATTACTTAAATAAGAAGTTGAATAAGTTAACTCAGGGTTTTTATCTGAAGTTAACAGAGGCCTGTACTATGTGGTAACCCCACACATTCACGTAAAAAAATCTGACCATACACAAACATGGCAGAGTGAAGAAAAAACTATAATTAAAATAATCCAGACTAAGGGCCTGTGTTTGTGTCTTCACATCATTTTACACGAGGGCAACCTCAGTGACTTTTCGAGTGGCTGCCAAAGAATGATCTCTTTTCAAATTCGTTTAAAATTAGCTTTTTTAGAAAAAATGTCACCAGGATAAATTAACTCTTTAAAACTGCAATTAGAACCACGTTTTACATGCAATATGTAATTTCTGCCACTAGGGGGTCTCTCACATCCAGACAATAAGTTTGATGAGATGGTGAAGCAGTGTGGGATCATGGGAGTTGTTGTCTTCACCACCATTGGCGTCATTGCAGTCAGCTTCTCCCGGTTAGGATTCCTTCGGTCTTCATGGTTCAGGAGGTTTCTACCGGGAGCCCAATTATCCACAGAGGTCTCCTGCTCTCCAAAACAAACAGACCCGAGCTGAGCTGCTGCTAACGTTAGCTCAGCTTGTTTCTCTGATACCTTAAGATCCAGACAGCACTGCTTTTTGATGTTGGTTTAGCTCCGTGATCCATGTGTCCTCAAATCCCACCAAGAACCTTTCAGAAGCAGGGCGTCTTCACAGCGTCTTTACAGCGTCTTCACAGTGTCTTCACAGTGTCTTCACAGTGTTTTCTTGTGTATTTTGTCCTGAAAAAAAGAAAACAGTGCGTTTCTCCTCTTTATATCTCGTCTGACTGATTGACTTCTTGTCTGGTGTCACTGCGTGAAATTCAATCCAGAGTCTGCACAGGGTTTTTTTTTTTAAAATAGTTGTTTCTGTGTCTGACTGTTATCTTGAACATAACCTGCTCCGGAGCAGGTTAGCAGTTCAGCATTAGTTACCATGGCGATGTACCTTGGTGAGAAGTGAACCACCATCATAATACAGGCCTCAGGAGTCGTATGATAATGGACTATTGTAGATTTATGCTGTGTCTCTGTCCTCATGTTGTTATGGAAAACCAAAATGTTCAAAATGTATAAAAATTTAGGAATGATACTAATAAGTAATACTGTGGGGAAATCTAAATGATGAGATACTGAGTCAACATTTCAGCTTTCAGGCCAAAAAAATTACACAGTCAATATTTATTTAACTTTTAATGGGCTGAATTTTATTTTACATTGGCCTCATAAGTCATTATTATGATGCAATTTTTCATAATTCTTACGAATAAATCATAATTTGGTTTTAATCATTTGGATATAAGTTGTAATTTTTGTACAGTACTTTATCAGGATGAAATTAGAGTTTTGTGCTCGTATATAGGCCTACATCATACAGTATAATATTATAATTATATTTCCTCCACAGTATTTATATATCAGTAAAATCTATAGAACGACTCCTGTACGAGACACAGTCAACATCATGATAGAACTCTTTCTGTGTTCTGATGTATGTTTACAGTGGGTTGGTTAGTGTTTTTTAGTCATTGACACTTTAAACTGATACAATTATATATTTTACATTGATTTGCACAGTTCATCGTCCAGGAAAATAATCAAATCAACATGAGTGATAAAATAAAAATGATCAACAACTGAATAATTTAATTATGTCCTTAATGTTAAATTTTTTTAAAATTTTAATTCAACTTTCTTTAAATTCTGACTTATGAGATAAAGTCATAATTTTACAAGAAAAATTTGATTTTGGGACATATTATACATTTTATTTTATTTTTCTTTGTAGCAGTCGCTCATTCATTCATTCATTCATGTGTGCTGCTATTTTCCTTTTGCTCATTTCATTTGGGATCAATTGGAAACCTTCTGGGTTGATTAGAGGATCACTTAGATCACCTGTTGCATGGGGGGGGGGACTGACTGACTCCTCAACAATGATGGAGAGCAGCTTGGTGATTCCCCTCTTGGCCAATCCGAGTGTGACGACGCCCATTCTTGAAGGCATAAAAGAGATGGGGGATCTGATCCTTCAGTTGGTGCAGAGCTCACACTCTGAGACATGGTCAGTGTGTTTTTATTTTTAATATTATGTGATTGGGAACTGATTCTCAGGCTCCTTCTCCTTAAGTTGAGACATGGGGAATCAGTACTGCCACAATCATTTTCTGTACCTTTCTGTATTCATCCCTGTTTATGAGCAGTGAGTGAACGGGTTGTAATGTGCGACACAACACAACCTCAAAGTATAATACAATTTTCTTGTAAAATTATGGATCTATTTATAATCTTTAATTAGTAAGTGAAATAAAATAACTTTTAATAATTAATGATTTTGACTTGAGATACAATATTATATAAAATTTACGGAATAATCTTTAAGAGGTATAATAATAACAGATTTTTATTCCAAATGTTTCATGATTTTTTTTTTTTTTTTCATTTTCCTGGACTGAATGTTTTATCACACTGACTGTTTTTTAAATAATTTATGTGCGTTTCAGAGGAGTTTTATAGATTAATTTATGAATTTGTTTTACTTTGTTGGAACAGTGTTCATCAGCTCAGTGTTTCTATCTGTGTAATATTTCTACCAGTGTTGACCTGCTGCTGTGTGTCATTTTCAGCTTTTGTAGTGGATTTATCTGAAAGCATTATGAACATCATGAGTCTTTGTTGAGCCACAGTGTTTGTCTGTCTGTTGGCTTTAAGTATTATTAAACTGTGGTGCAGTTGTTGTCTATCATACAGTGTGTTCTCTGAATCCTGAAATGAGGGTTGTGATATAAACTTGCTTTCAGCTCTCTAGGTAGCGGTAGCTATAAAGAAAAGTTGTATTTATTATTATTATTATTATTATTATTATTATTATTATTACATTTTAAAGCTAGAACATAAACGTATGGATGGGAAACAGGAAATGGATGCTGTTGAATACGTCATTTTATCTGCTGTATTTATGGTCAAATACACTCCACCCCCTTTATTAAAAATTAAAAAAGACTAAATGAGCTATTTATCCATGGTTTATAACACATAGTCAGCAGTTTTAGGGACATTTATATTAACAATCTTTACAATGTGTTATAAAAAAATTTCAACTGTTGACGCTACTGAACGAATCTTGAGGCGTGTTATGAAACAGAGTCCGCCTGTTAAGGAGCCAGGATGTTGGTGGAGCAGGTCTCTGTGAAGATGTAGACACAACAGTCTCTGGTTCCCTTTGGACTGTTCCGTTTGGTCCAAAGCCTTAAATCCAAGCTGGGCCAGCATGGCACCTGCTGTTGATGTGCTGGTCCTGCTGATCTGGCTGGGTCCACTGCTCGCACATCCAAAACCCCACGCTTCCTTTTCTGAAGACTGTAGACTGGTTCTGTCTGTAATACGTGTTTCAGCAATAAAACCGAAAACAGATTAAAATAAAAACAGAGAATCTGAATGTGCAGCGATTGTCAAATCCACTCAGATATCATCAAAAAGTACAGATTAAAAAAAGTTTGAATGAGGTACTGCCGTTGCTATAGCAACAGTATACCATTGTACATGTTGTATATTTCAATCAGAAGTGCCAATTAAGGGAACAACTTCTTTAAGCAGCCTAGTTGGGATCGGGTCTAACAGACAGGTTGATGGCTTCGATGAAGAAATGATTGAAGTTAACTGATGAAGATCGATAGCAGAAAAACAGTCTAAATATACATCTAAGTTTACATTGACAGAAGTCCCTGAACTTGGAGAGCCACTGATAACTGTTGATGGCAGTTGGTGATTAATTTTTTCTCTAATAGTAATAATTTTATTATAGAAGAAGCTCATGAAGTCATTGCTACTTAAGTTTATGGGGATATGTGGCTCGATAGAGCTGTGACTCTCTGTCAGCCTGGCTACAGTGCTGAAGAGGAACCTAGGGTTGTTCTTATTTTCTTTTCTTCTATTCTATATATTGTTGTTTCAAATTTTAAAGAAACATTTTTCATCTACATTCAAACCAAACGCATGTCCTTTTCAAAATTAGGGTTGGCAGGGAACTCATTAATTAATTAGTGATCGGTTTGTGTTCATTTAAAAAAAACGCTTCTCTTAACAAACTTTATTCTTATCAGAAATCATCAGTTTATTTTTACAGTCCAGTGATTTCTGTTATAACAATATTATTTTTAGCTTTAATGTGTAAATACGAGTCCGTCAGATGATCAGGTTCACCTCAGGACACTTCACTTCCTGTCCAGGTTGAAGATTTGTCGGCTCTCGATGAGGATGAACTCCACGATCTGGTTCTGGTAGACCATGTTGAATGCCATGTTACCTGCATCCAGCTCAGGCCACATCAGCGTTGGGCCAAACACAATGCCAATGCCCTGAGTGGACATCAGGTTCTTCCTGGAGAAGGCCAGAACTCTAAAGAAAAGCAAAAAGAACAAGGTCAGGGAAAAAGATCAAAGTGCTCCATGTTCTAAAAATCAGGACTTACAAAGAGATCAACAAATAACCTGTAGAATAAATAAGGTACAAAAATGCAGATAATAACAATAAAAACTTTGTGCCATGTTACTACAAATTGTTAATCTGAATGATTGCTGCTGCAACGAAGCTGCTTTTATTCCACTTTGTTCTGCATGTTGGGACTATAGACCTCCATCAAGAAGAAGAAGCTGAAGTTCACTGTGCAGACGGTAAACAGCTGTAACTGTCTGCTGTACAGAGAAACTCAGTGATCAGTGAATTCTGTTCTTTACAGAGAGGTTTCCAAAACAGGACACCAAAGAAAAGGATACAATTGATAAAAGCATGATAGAACAAACTCATCATGGTTTTTGTCAATGTGGAAATAGTTTCCTCTGACAAAACAAATGCTGGTTCCCCTTTTTGCACACGGCTTCACAACTTCACTTCACAAGCTCACAACTTCACAATGTGACATTTACGTTCATGTCATTTACATTTGAGTTTCTTTAAAAAGTTGTGTTTCAAAATCATTTTGATGTGTGGTGGCAATTTTGTTAAATAAAGCTAAGAAAACTTTCTTTAAGTTTATTCAGCATCTATAGATGGATTCAACAGCAACATCCAGTTCACTAAGAGTCACAGGTGGACTATCCTCTCTCTCTCTCTCTCTCTCTCTCTCTCTCTCTCTCTCTCTCTCTCTCTCTCTCTCGTTCGTTTCTGGGGACATGGCCTCAGTGACTACTGTACAAAAACACAACTTTAGTGATTTTGTTCAATCTGGATATTTGATTTAATAACTTGGTGATTTATGGAGTTTCCTGATAGACAGATGGCTTTATCTGTTGCAATGCTAACTGCTGCTGCCAGCTTGTATTCTCTCATTTAGTCTTCAGGTGGGGTTTAGATGTATGGCGGCGTACCTGTGTAGGTGACTGAAGAGCAGCTTCATGGTGTCCTGGTTGGGTTTGGGCAGCTCCTGGATCAGTTTCTTCATAGCCTGGACTTTGTGTGTGGGTTCTTTAATCTCTGTTCAGAGAAATGACATCTTGTTTACCACGTAACACGACTGCCATCTTGTGGCAACCAGAGAGAATTACCATTATAAACTTGTGTAAGATTGTAGTTGTTATACTATATATTGTTCAACTTTTAAACCCTAACCCTTGATGTAAAATGTTTTTGTCTTTAACTCTCAGATCTTAAAACCAACAGGGACTGACATTTTCACATAAAGACTTATTTTATCGGGTTTAAATTGGAAGGGACAATGATTTCTAATTAAGACTTTTATTATGTCAGGTCTGACTCACTGATGGCCTCCACAAACGGCTGGAAGAACCTGAAGGGAAACAGCGGCTCTGGCAGCTCACGGAAAAACATCTTGAGGGCTCCGGTGACAACGTGAATGTCCTCCCACTGACTGTGGTCCAGATCCAGGTCCTCTTCTGGGGGGACAGATCAAAACAGGATAATTTAATATTATTTCTAACACATTGGTGACAACAATACAAGGACAACAACAGAGATATAAAATCATAGTCCATAGGGATTCACTTTTTTAGAAAAACTTTTTCTACAATTTAATTCAATTCAATTTTATTTGTATAGCGCCAATTCATAACAGAAGTTATCTCAGGACACTTTTCAAATAAAGCAGGTCTAGACCGAACTCTTTAACATTAATTACAGAGACCCAAAAGTACCACCATGAGCAAGCACTTGGCGACAAGGGCAAGGAAAAACTGCCTGTTAAAAGGCAGAAACCTAGGACAGATCCTCCGGCTCTAGGTGGGTGGTCGTCTGTCTCGACCAGTTGGGGAGAGAGAGAGAGAGACACAATGTTGTGAATATTTAATATTGTAACCCTAATTGTAGTCTGTATTACAGGAGGTAAAACATGTTGACCTTAACCGAGAGCTGTGAGCGATAACCCTTCATCAGGGGGGATTTACTATGAGTGCAATGTGGGAAGAACCTTTTAATAATCAGTATGAACATTTTCTAACTTAGATTATCACCAGTATGTTGATGAAACGTATTTGTTGTATTTCTGTTGTAAATGAGTAGAATTTAACTAATTTGGAGACAGCTTAACAGACCTTGATCAACGATGAAGCGAAGTTTCTGGATGGTGGCCAGATTTCCACTGACTCTGTAGATTCCGTCCACCTCAAGACCTGAAAACACAAACCAGAGTGTAAAGGTCCTCCAGTGACTGACACCAAACACCGTCTGTAGTTTTGATCTCTTTCAGTTAAATGTTTCAGGTGATATCGGTCTTTATTGTTTCTTCGTCTCTTCTTTTTCATGGATCCATGGACAGACTGTGTCATTAAAAATAGACCTTTGCACAACGTCTGCCATCGATTTGTGACGAACCGATGTGAAGCTCAGTGTGGTCGGCATCTCTTGGCTAGTCCAAAAATAGGCAAAGAGGTGGAGTGTGGGTGGAGCTGATGGTGGGCTGAATGACCCTAACCTGGGTTACTGAAAATGAGCCTTTTATATATTTACATTGTCTGTTGTTGAAAACCTGTCTGAAGTGCTGTAGACCCCTGTCTATTTTATGTTTAAACAGGTCTCACATTAGTGGTGGTATCCATTTCTGAAGTACTTTCAGTATTACTCGTGTTTATTGTAGCACTGAATACTGAATGGTGCTCTCAATTATTGAATATTTATTTGTGTTTTCATTAATGATGGGCAAACTTTATTTGCGATTTAATTTGTGATGGACACTGACAGGCCAACTGTCTGGTGGGCGTGGTTAATAAAAGTCCTTCTGCACGCAGCTGATTGCAGTTGCAGTGTGAGTGCCTTTTTTTTTTTAAAGCCATTTATTCTAGCATGTTTCAGGTTTGTTTTTTTTTTTTTTTTTTTTTTAGCATCAGGTTTTTTCTATTTTTATTATTTGATGCTTTTAATTTTGTATCTTTTTATTGTTTAAAACAATCTGCCCCAGTGCAGTTAGTTTTGCAATGTTTTATCTGCTTTACTGTTGGTACTTATTTTAGTGATGGGGGTCTTTTTATTCTTTTAGTTTTGTTTCTCTGACTTTATTTTGCCTTATTGCCTTCTGAAATGTTGTAAATCTGGGTTCTGATCATGTAAGGCACTTTGTTACTTTGTTTTAAAAGTTATAAGTTGTTTTTATTATTATTAGGGCCCGAGCACTGACAGTGCGAAGGCGCTATTGTAATTGAAGGAATTCTTCTTTTTCTTTTTCCTCCTAAACAAACGCATATTTGGAGGCTTTCCCATGCTCGAAAACTCATGAAACGTGGCGCATATGTAAGTCGTGGCGAAAAATTTTGTATTTTATAGAGGTCCCCAATGAGCATGGCAAAATGGCCCCTCGGGCCGATAAACTGTACCACCCGGGGCCCCTTTCACTGATATGCATAAAATTCGGCACACGCGTAGATCTTATCCTGATAAACAAAAAATCCAGTGGGCGCCATATCCCAAAGTTGGCCATTTTGGATTTAGCTGCCATTTCTGGCAATTTGCACACGTTGTATTTGAACTCCTCCACCTAGGCAATTTATTGGATCAACTTCAGATTTAAGCAGTGCAATCTAAAGACATTCATGATTAAAAGTTGTGCTATTTACGACATTCCGTCGAACAGCATTCCCAGTGAGGTGGTGTCCAATTTTGACGATTCGCCATGAAAAAGGCAGTTGTCATAACTTTAGTGTACATGATCCAATCTCAATGAAAGTTTACATGTTTGATAAGAGTCCCACCCTGAACACGTCTGTGACAATATTCAGATATAGTGATAGCTGCCCTACTGGCAACAGGAAATATCACGTTTTATACTTTCAATTCTATTTGTATAGCGCCAATTCATTACAGAAGTTATCTCAGAACACTTTTCAAATAGAGCAGGTCTAGACCGAACTCTTTATAACATTATTTACGGAGACCCAACAGTACCACCATGAGCAAGCACTTGGCGACAAGGGCAAGGAAAAACTGCCTGTTAAAGGGCAGAGAGAGAGAGAGAGAGAGAGAGAGAGAGAGAGAGAGATGCAAAGCAACAGTATTGGCAATGGCAATCTAGCAGGACCATGGCAGGAGGCTCCACCAGGATCGATAAGAACCTGCGAGACGAGAAAGCACAAGAACTCCGGGGAAGAAGTGAAGTTAGTAACATGCATTAATGGGACATGAATGAGTGCAGAAAGAGAGAGGAAGAGAGGAGCTCAGTGCACCATGGGAAATCCCCTGATAGTCTAGGGCTGCGTTTCATTAGTCGTTCAACATGCCCTTGTTCACTTGCCCTTGGCACTTGCCCTCAGGGGAATCCCCGCCGCCATCATAAGTGTTGTTCCAATTGTCTGGAAAACTGAAATGAACTTGGTGAGATGGACCCTCAGAGGGCTGAGGGAGCGAGTGAACAACGATGGTCACTCCGAGGTGGATATCACCCACAATGCATTGCAGTTTACGTCATTGCCGCTATACTGCCGAGTAAGGGCAAGTGCGTTTCATTTAAATCCCCCGCTCCTCCCCTGCCCACTTTCCCTCCACGCTCTAAGTGGCCTCCATGCGACGTATGCTGTCACGTCATACCAAGGGCTGAGGGTAAGTGAACGAGGGGAAGTGGAACTACCAATGAAACGCAGCCCAGGCCTATAGCAGCATAACTAAGGGACGGTTCAGGACTCACCTGATCCAGCCCTAACTATAAGCTTTATCAAAGAGGAATGTCTTAAGCCTACTCTTGAATGTGGAGAGGGTGTCTGCCTCCCGAACCACAACTGGAAGCTGGTTCCACAGGAGAGGAGCTTGGTAACTGAAGGCTCTGGCTCCTGTTCTACTTTTAGAGACTATAGGAACCACAAGTAGCCCAGCATTCAGAGAACGTAGTGTTATAGTGGGGTAATAGGGTACTATGAGCTCTTTAAGATATGAAGGAGCCTGACCATGAAGAGCTTTATAGGTGAGGAGGAGGATTTTAAATTCTATTCTACATTTTACAGGGAGCCAATGCAGAGAAGCTAGTACAGGAGAGATGTGATCTCTTTTTCTAGTTCCTGTCAGTACTCGTGCTGCAGCGTTCTGAATTAATTGGAGCGTTTTAATGGACTTATTGGGGCAACCTGATAATAAAGAGTTGCAGTAATCCAGCCTAGAAGTAACAAATGCATGGATTAGTTTTTCTGCATCTGTCTGTGATAGGATGTGTCTAATTTTTGTAATATTACATAAATGAAAGAAGGCAGTCCTGGAGGTCTGCTTTATGTGGGAGTTAAATGACAAATCCTGATCAAAGATAACTCCAAGATTCCTGACAGTGGTGCTAGAGGCCAAGGTAATGCCATCTAGAGTAACTATATCTGTAGACAGTGAGTCTCTAAGGTTTTTGGGGCCAAGAACAAGAATTTCATTTTTTAAAATTGCAGGTCATCCAGGATTTTATGTCCTTAAGACATGTTTGTAATTTAGATAATTGATTAATTTCATCGGGCTTGATCGATTGATATAACTGCATATCATCTGCATAACAGTGAAAGTTAATGGAGTGATTCCTTATAATCTTGCCTAAAGGTACAGAACCTTGTGGAACTCCATGACTAACTGTAGTATTTATTGAAGATTCATCGTTAACATGAACACACTGAGAACGATCTGATGAGTATGACTTAAACCAGCTTAGTGCGGTTCCTTTAATGCAGATTTGATTCTCAAGTCTCTGTAAAAGAATATCATGGTCAATGGTGTCAAATGCAGCACTAAGATCTAATAATACAAGTACAGAGACAAGTCCATTGTCGGAAGCAATCAGAAGGTCATTATTTAGAGCAGGTCTAGACCGAACTCTTTATAACATTATTTACAGAATAGGACTTTAATGCCAATTTGATGCTCAAGCCTCTGTAATAGAATATGATGGTGTCACTGCACTTGTATTTTTAAATCTTAGTACTGTTCTTGACAAGTCCATTGTCGGAAGCAATCAGAAGGTCATTATTAACTTTAACCAGAGCTGTCTCTGTGCTATGATGAACTCTAAATCCTGACTGAAAATCCTCAAATAAACTATTGTTATGTAGAAAGTCACACAACTCTTTGGCGACTACTTTCTCCAGAATCTTAGAGAGGAAGGGGAGGTTAGAGATTGGTCTATAGTTGGCTAAAACCCCTGGGTCAAGAGTGGGCTTTTTGCAAGAAGGGGTTTAATTACAGCTACTTTAAAGGACTGTGGTACATATCCTGACAATCACGTTCTACTCCTAGCAGGATGATCAGATCCAGCTGAAATTTACTTATAAAATGCAAGACACATCGTTTATATGTGATGAATGCTGTAAGTGGGCGTGTCTGTGGCGTGGCGTGATATAATGCCACAAAACACAAGTTTGCTATAACTTGTACATTGTCCATTGGGCTTCAAACTTCACTTGTCGTCTTGTTATGACGGCACATGACGCGGCTGCAGCACACCCCGTTGGCACGTGGCGAAGCTGCAGCACACCCCGCCATGTGTCAAGTGCGAGGGCCCGTTTATCTGTGCTTGCAGTAGTAGTAATCATCATCATAATAATAATAATAATAATAATAATATTTTGTCATCTGTGAACCATAAAGTTATAGTCTAATCAATGATAAAGTGCTATGAAGACTTTAATTAAATCCAATATTTATAACACTTACTTATTGACTAAATGTAACTTATTTGTGTGGTGACTGAACTCAAGTCTGTTATTTTTTTGGGCCTTTTCATGCCTTTATTGGACAGAGACAGCTGAAGATTGACAGGAAAGGGGGGTAGAGAGAGAGGTGATGACACGCAGCAAAGGACTGCCGGTCGGATTCGAACCCGGGCTGCTGCAGCAACTCTGTATATGGGTTGCCAGCTCTACCGACTGAGCTAACCGGACGCCACAGATTTTTATTTTTGTCATGGTTTAATTTATTCAATGCAAGAGTAAAATTCTTTTACAGTGTGTTATTGTAGTCATTTTATTTATAGTAATATTATTTTATGTGAGATACTATAAAAAAGTGCTCTGTGTAGTGAATGGGTGTGTAAGTGTGTTTTCTCTTCATGCGGTGAAAAATAAATGGTGAATGGTGGTCAGACACAAACATGAGGCCTCAGAGTGACGGACGAAAAAATCATCTGTTCCTCAGCTGGTAGTGAACATACCTCGCTTGTCAACTGCATCCAAACAGATTCGAACAAACTGCGGCACTGTGGTTCCTTCACGCTCACACAGAGTCAACAGATGGCAGCCGAAGATTCGATCTGAGACATTAACATTGATCATTTATGTTACATCACGTTCAATGGCTATTTAAAAAAAAAATGCCTTTCACGTGTTAAAGCCTAAAATTCCTCCAACAGTAACTTCACTGTCACATGTAGATCCTATTTGTTTAACGGAAGCATTAAAGGTTTATAGCTGCCAGTGATGCTGTTTCTTCAAACTTTATTCAAACCTTCCTGACTTTGATGTTGGTTATTAAAATATTCTACATTCATGTCCAATAACGCATTTCAACAGAGCTTCAATGAAGAGCTGTAACAAGATGATACAGAATAAATGTGATACAGTTAGAAGACAACCTTAAAGCTATAAACATATTTTAGACAAAGCAGAAACCTTTAATGAGGCCTTTCTCCTGCAGAGTCTTCATGGATGGACGCCTGATGATAAACTTCTTCAGTCTGTTCTTCACTCCATTCTTGTCGGCGCTGTCGGATGTGCTGTGTTTCAGCTTGGAGCTGCCAAACATGTCTGCAGAAAAAACATGAAATGAAATACAACTTCTATCCATTTGTTTCCAGTCTGTAAATCTGACATTATCAGCTTATAAAAACATTGTAATAAAATTAGTATTATCCAGCTTTCTATAAAGCTACCTAACCCCTCTCACCTCCATCATTATTATCAAAGCACATTTCTTGATAACTGCAGTTTAATGTGATACTGTAAAAATGCCTGATAGGAAGTAGCCAAAACAGTTTAGAAAGCGTTGGTTTGAACAGTAGGTGGATTAATGTGTTGGGTCAGGTACTCACTGATGGAGCGCCTGTGGACCGGGTTGCGCTGCTTGGCGTTTGGGGAGGCGGAGCCATAACCAGGTAGGGAGCTGTGTCTGGGCAGGTACTCTGTACTGTTTGACCTCCGCAGAGGAAGACCTCCGTCTGCTTTAGTCTGAAGAGAAAAAGAGTTGCACCCAGTGACCAAACAGCTTTTATTTCACTGATAATCTCCACCTTTTTCATTCATTTCATTCATTGTATCAGATTTTCAATTTGATATCTCAGTGGACTGAATCTCTGTTGGTTGGACAAAACTACACATTTGAAGTTTGGACTGGACAAACTGGGATGGACATTTGAGACTCCGATTGACAAAAGAAAAAGGCATTCTAAAAGGAAGTGAGTTCTTACTGAAGAGTCAATGGTCTTTCTGATGGCGTCGTACCATTTACTGGCTGTGGAGTAACTGTCAGTCTGGAGGAGGTACTCACTTCCTGTGTTTGTTGTGATCTGCCACAGACGAAAATGACAAGTTGAGTTGGGCACCAACAGAAGAAATAATTAAGTGTATGTGGTAAATGGACTGTACTTATATAGCATCTTTCCAGTCTCCCGACCATTTAAAGCACTTTGCACTACATTTTTACACTTTCGCTGTTATGCAGATGATACCCAGTTATATCCATCGATCAAGCCTGATGAAATTAGTTAGTTAAATTTACAAACATGTCTTCAGGACATGAAAACATGAATGTCCTGCAATTTCCTTATGTTAAACTTGGCCCCAAACACCTCCGAAACTCACTGTCTAATAATATAGTTACTCTAGATGGTATAACCCTGGCCTGGTTATCTTTGATCAGGATATGTCCTTTAACTCCCACATAAAGCAAACTTTTAGGACTGCCTTTTTTCACTTATGTATCATTGCAAGAATCAGACACATCTTGTCACAGACAGATGCATTTGGTCCATGCCATTTGGAGCCTTCAGCTACCAAGCTCCTCTCCTGTGGAACCAGCAATAGATGGAGCCAGGGGTCGAACTGCCCTGGTGACTGCTACCTCCTGAGCTACAGCCATGCTCATAAGGGCCTTATAAGTGGTATAGAATGCTGCAGGGATGTGCTTTTGTAGTCCAACCCTGAAATAAAATTTTCTACAAACAGCCAATGAGATTGTTCTATTGGATTTTGGATTATTGTAGAAAAAAATCTCTGTGGTAAATAAAGGTTTATGATACCGACACATTTTGTTTAGCAAGATAATCTTCACTAATGAACTCCACTTTTGTGATTTTTGAAGGCGATCTCCAGAAGTAAAAAGCTAATGTTGACAAACTACAACAGTCAAATGACTTCACTGCCACTAAACCTCCAACTTGGAATTACATTTTCAATTAAGACAATTAACAAGTTGTAAAGTTTGAGTTAGAAGTTTAAAGAGCACGATTATATACACAGATCGATAGATCAGTCTCACAGGTAACCTCTGTACTCTTAGACGGTTAGCAACCACTTTTTTAAGACTTGTAAAAACATTCACAGAGGGGTATTTACTGACGGCTCTTATGTCGGAGAACAAAACATGTTAACCACAGATCTTATTTCAGACATCCACCCACAACCTCATGAAAGAGAAAGTGAAAATGTCGGCCCTACTCTAAGAGATTTAATCAAAGCCTTATAAAGGCATAAAGCACTCAAAATAAAATCATACTTTCTGACAGTTTCTGAGGTGCTGTGAGAGGTCAGGGTGACCATGTAAAAGCTTTGTATTTGTTTCTTACCTGGAACACATTTTTCCTGCTCGACTTTTCTGTCGTCCACTCGATAAAAGCTCCACACAGCTGAACAACATCTGTCTTACTTCCTGGTTTCTGCTCCAGAAGTCAGAGGTCACACAGCCCAACAAATATTAATAGATTAACACAATAAAAATAAAAATACTACATACATTGGCCTGAACTGTATTCAGGGTTTCTGTACTTTCACCAAGTTAAATTCAAGAATCACTTTAATTGTAATGTAGGTGTACAAGGGCAGAAGATATAGTAGAAATATACACCGATCAGCCGTAACACTGTGAGCACGGCCAGTGAATAACACTGATTATCTGGTTATCAGGGCTTCTGTCAGTGAGTGGGTGGGGGTTGGGGGGGGGGGTTATCAGGCAGAAAGTGAACATTTGGTCCTCAGAGTTGATGTGTTAGAATCAGGAAAAATGGGCAGCGTGAGGATCTGATCCACTTTGACAAGGGCCACATTGTGATGGACGACTGGGTCAGAGCATCTCCAAACCTGCAGCTCTTGTGGGGTGTTCCCGGTCTGCAGAGGTCAGTACCTATCAAAAGTGGTCCAAGCAAGAAACAGAACTGGAGACAGGGTCATGGGGGGCCAAGGCTCATTGATGCATAACATTATGATGACAACCAGGGTGCCCAGGTGGTCATTATGTTATGGCTGATCGGTGTAGTAGAGATACAGTAGAGATATAGAAGAAGATTTACTTTACTATATAATAATATAATATAATAGAGTATATGTAGAAATAGTATTTTCTACCTGGCTGGTTTCTTGTTGTCTCTCTTTATATAACAGCAGCTGGTCTGAGGTCAGAATGCTCCACATCAAAGTCCAGTTCTTCCTCTGCTTCTTACCGCTCTCTGAGATCTTTGCCACATTCAAGTGTTCACCTTTCAACTGCACCTGGTCGCACACATACACACATTATTATAACATTAACAGCACTAAATCATGTTGTAGATGTTTTTACAGTGATGTAGTTGGAGATGTTAGGATTAGGGTTATAATGTTTTGACATTGTTGTACTCACTAGCGGTTCTAAAGTTTCAGATCCTCCAGGGACCAGGACGTTGTGCTGAGACTGGTTCCTGCGATGCCGAGAGATCTAAAGACAGAAAGAACTGAATGACGAAATGAAGTTCGCCATGATGGAGGTTCTGGTCCTATTCACAGGTTTCTGAGGTTAGGGGGTTAGGTGATGGAGGTTCAGGTCTACTCACAGGTTTCTGGGGAAGGTCGGACTCCTGCAGGACCATGGACTTGGACTGACTGAGGCGGTCTCCAGAACTCTGTGAGTTCTTAATGCGGATCTGAACGGCCCCCTGTGCCACAGTGCTGCGCTGTGGAGGTTGAACCAGCGGCGGTTGCTTAGCGGTAGTGCGGAGGTTTGTGATTCTGTGTTCAGATATATTGATCATCAGATTAGTGCTGTGAAACCAACCCAGTCCTACAGCTGTGTGTAAACAGACTCTGGAGGGTCTGAAACATAAAACACAACATCTCCACCAAGCATTGTTTCCTTATATTTCATAGCTGGTTTGAGCAGCCTACAAGTGTTCAGTGTCAGTTCTTGTGTTTGGGATTTGTCATATTCTTCCATAAAAGGTTTCTCACTCTGTACTATCGTCGGGGCGTCTTACATTCACATTGAATTTCTCCTACGGGGATCAATAAAGGTACATTTTATCTTATCTTAGCTCTTTTAAGATTCAACCACACACTGTCAGTGATATTTCAGTCAGTGCCAGAAACCTTCAGCTGGGTATCTGGAGGACCATGGTGGATTTCGAGGTCCGTTTAGAGTCTTTATCCTGTTGTAGAAGCTTTCAGCTGTTTTACAGATACTGTGATGTTTCTTCCAGCATTTGTTGCTATTTAGTGGAATCAGTTCTCCCTAAACTGCCATATGTTAGTCCCATTTCACACTGTGGATACAGTTGTTGCACTCTTCTGCTGCACTGTGGACATCAGGAACTGTCACACAGCTGCTGAGAGAAAGCCCTGGTTGCTAAGTGTTAACACACAGAGTCAGAGTGTTTGGAAAGGCCTGAAACCAGCTGATGGTTCCTGATCACAGCAGTTGACCTGCCTCACGCCTAAAGACCCCATTAAACAATCTGAGACTGCAGAAGGTTGTCAAACTTTTGATTATTTTTTTGATTTTTGTTCAATTTATGAAACAAAACAAAACAAGGCACACATGTTTGCTGCAAATATTGTGTTTAATGTTCCAGACCCTTCAGAGGCTGTTAACATCTTTTAATGAAAACACCACCAAAATCTGTTATTAGTCGACGTGTGGACATACTTTACATACAACTGTATGTAATCAGTCTGTGATAAATATCTGATCAGTATGGGTTCTGATCAAATCATAGACAAACTAAGAAATAAAGTCAAGGTTTTCAGAACTTTTTCATATTCACAGAGTGAATGTGATTATTATTGATTAGTCCCTCCAGGAAGCTGCAACCCTTAATACCCCATCGTTGTATTGTCGGGTTAACCCTAACAGTTCTACTAATTTGACAAATTATTGTAGTTACTTACACAAAATATTGAGCCATACGTCACCAAACTCACTTCCTTGTTTCTAGCAGTTGGGATGAGGCCATTGACCCTCTTTACACTGGCATTTTATTCTCACTGGAACTTTTGATTTTTAATTAAGTATAAAAAAATTTCACTTTCTCCCTCAATTTCATTGCAAAAAAACATTGCAATGTACATTACAATAGTTTTAGAAAAGCTGAAATTAAATCAGACATTTTACCTGGTAAGATCGTCACCGAGAAGAGGATGAGAGGAAAGCTGAAAGCTTTCAGGGACCACCACTCTCCTCTCTATGCTGAGCTGAAACAGCTCAGGAGCTTTCAGCTACAGACTGATCCAGGCCCAAGCCTCACAGTGCTTTGGAGGCTCATTTGTGCCATCAACCATCCGACTCCACAACCACAGCTCCCAGTACCTCCACAACCACAGCTCCCAGTAGCTCCACAACCACAGCACCCAGTACCTCCCACCTCCACAACCACAGCTCCTAGTACTTCCACGACCACCGCACCCAGTACCTCCCACCTACACACAAACGCACACACGCGTGCACACACACACAGTAATACATGTTTTTGTGATCAATAAATCACTCAAAACCCAAACTAAAGAAACATTATTTTCAGACTTCAGCCTATGGGTCTGGGTTCTGGTCTGGGTCTGGTTTAGGGTCTAGATAAGGATACTGGTGGAAGAAAGCAGCCCTGTGTGGACAAACGTTGCGTTAAAGTTGGATCCAAAACAGTCTGGTTCCTGTTTGCAGCTCTGATTGCTTCACTGTGGTTGCACAATATCTGTCCTTCTGTCAGTTGACAGGAAAATATAAAGAGACCAGATTGGTTTGTTTCAGACCTGGAGTCAGTACAGTGTGTGCAAGAGTCTTTGCAGAACCAACATTTACCAAAAGACATAAAAGTGGCACAATTAATCGAAATATGAATCGAAATTGCAACATGATCAAGTGCAATGTCCAAATCACAGAAGCTGCAGTTGTTTGGTAAAATGTGACTAACAGCAGTACATATTGTGCAGCACTACATCAGTGTTATACAGAGACACAGTGCACCGTGATATCACTGAGAGCTAAATAAGTTGGCTGCTGTGGCTCAGAAGGTAGAGCAGGTTGTCCAATAATAGAAAGGTTGGTGGTTTGATCCCTGGCTCCTCCCACCACATGTTGAAGTGTCCTTGAGCAAGATACTGAGTTATAGTGATAGCGCTACCAGATCCAGCTGAAATTCTGTCAGAAGTCCCATAGGATGATGACGATGACATCTTATGAATCTTAAGGTTGATGAGGGGTTTGTTGATATGTACGGGGCTGCTGTTTATTGGTGGCAGTGACATCCTTGTGAAATAAAGTCCTGTTGAGATTGTGTGTCTCTCTCTCTCTCTCTCTCTCTCTCTCTCTCTCTCTCTGTATTGATTGGCTCCATGAGATCAATCTAGTGAGGAGGGGCCCCCTGTTCTGTGTCAGAGTCTTTGATTGGCTTTATGTTTCCATCAAGTTTCTTGATTAAATAAAAACATTCATTGGGGTGCCATTGCTCCATGTGTGAAAATGTAAACTTTGAATAAAGTTGTTTCACTATATGCACTTCAGTTTATTTAAAGCGGTGGTACCCAACCTGGGGTTCAGGAACCCCAGTAGGGGTTGCCAAAGCATTAAAGGAGGTCGCAAGGGTTTTAAGGAGTGTAAGATAACTCTATACATATAAAAATATACACAAAAGGCCTAAATTCAAAGATTGAAGAATATTTTATTGTCATTTACAACAAAGTTGTGGAATGAAATTATCTCCGTATTTTGTTAAAAAAAGAAGAAAACAAAATTAAATGATTAGTTATTTTTAAAGTGTATATTATTCAAGATGCAGTCTATATTCACAGCACCTGCACTCTCTGGTTGTTTGAACCTTTCTACTGCAGGACAAGGCTGTTTATCAAAGAGCTAATAGAACAATATTCAGAAAGAAGAAAACACTGAATTTGTCAAAAAATAATTATAATATAATAAAATATAATATCAGTTATTAAAAATATCAGGAGAACTCATCTCTGATCAAAATTCACAGAAAATAATCTGCTCAAAATTCTTCCAAATTTCTGGTTTTAGACAAACCAAGTTCACTGTTTGGGTTCATTGTACAGTTTATCATTTGTTCTGTATTGTTACTGATATCAATCAATAGAATAGGAAATATACAGAAAATACAGTCAGTTTACTCACTAACAGAAAAGGGCTTCTTGAAGAAAAAGGTTGGGAACAACTGATTCTACGAGTATGAGAGTTCATATGTAAAAATACACACAAGCAGAATCATACATCTAAGAATGGAAAATTAGGGAATTTACAACATTAATAAAACAGAACCGGAGTTCAAGTAAGTAGTTATCAAAGTAAAAAGCTGTTGAATCTTTTCCCAATGAAACTAACAGTGATAATCTAAACTCCTGAACCTGTGGAGGGAGTTTATTCCACAGAAGCAATAAGTTTGAGCAAAATATTTCAATTAAAATGTAAGAACAGTTCAATAACAGCATTTAGACAAATTACACGATGATATTGAACCCAGCTCTGCGTCTGGAGCCAAAACTGCGACATCACAGCAGGTGTGAACTTTATAGATCCTATAAAAACTTCTTGTTGCCATAACGGACTTCAGATATAATGAAAGCCTGTATGAGGATTTTAATCTCTAAATCGGATCGAATAGTTTAGATCTGGCTCTTAATGTTGTACATGTTATGTAAATGCAACAAACTGTTCAGATGAAGACGCTGAAAACATTCATTAATGCAGCAGAGATGAGCTCAGTGAAGTTTACTTTAAAAAAACAACTGACTAACAAACTCTCAGCAGATACATAAAGGGTCACTGCATCCTCAGTTCTGTGAGACAAAACCACTTTACACAACAGTGCATCAAACCTCTAAAAACCTCCTGAACCAACGCAATGACAACTTCAGTAACAGGAAACAAAGAGAAGCTCTTCATACGGAAGCTGAACTTCAGCATGAGGTCTTATCACCTCCTCACAGTGTGTGAACAACAGAATGTGAACTTATCCAGAGGAGCCTCAACTTTAACGCATCACATCTGAAAAAAACACAATCAGCTCATTTAGAGAAAAGTTCAAGCTATTTCATCCATCACACCTCAGTGAGTTCAGGCCTACAGTCGAGTAAATCCAGTAGAAGTAGAACCAGTAATGAGCTAGTAATGATGGCACCTTCAGACACCAACACAAACTGATCACCAACACAGCACCCAACCTTTAATATAGAAATCATCAGAGATCAGTGAGTGTGATCTTACCTTGTACTCGCCATCTCTGTGCCACTGATCACTGAAGACAAGAGGCCCAACTGTTAGAGGAAGTATGATTCATCACGTGGTTCCTTCAAACCAGCCGTCTCTCACAGTACAACTGCTGCAACCTCCCCATTTCCTGAAAGAAAAAAACCTAACCTCATTCTCAGCAGTTTGTCACGTCTGTCAGTGAACCAACGTCTGCAGAGACTCAGTTCGTGCTGCTGGAAACCTGCCACTATTATTGATCTACAGTGACACCCAATCAAATGTAATATTGTAATGTTTAAGAATCAATGGTTGTGAACAGACAGAGGATACAGAGCTAGTGATGATGTATTTCTGTAGTCTAACTCTGAAGTTAGCATTGTCCTGGTTCCTTCCATAAACAGCCAATGAGATTGTTCCACTTGATTTTGGATTATTGCAGAAAATAACTACAAGATGCAAAGTTTGAGTCTGAAAAGGCGAACGAGTGAGTAGATCAGTCTCACCAGCAATATTCACAGGTGGAATATTTTCTGAAGGATCTAATGTTAGAAAAGATAACTGTGATACAAAACAGTGTTAACTGAAACCCCATCAGATATGAAGACATATCTGCCCATCTCCAGAGCCTTCAGGCCACAGGTGGTGGAGTCCCTGTATTACGGTAGACTGATATACTGTACTGCTGTATTGTGAAAGGGTTACGGTAAGTACAAGATGTGACGTCACCACGCTCCCAGTGAGCGCTAGTTGTTGTTGTGTGTGAGCCATGCTGATGAGACGGCAGCACATTGGTCCGCACTTTATTGTTAACTGTTAAATAAATATGCCAAGAGGCTAAAGATAATTTGAGTGTGTTCTACTTCCTCCACACGCAGTAGAGGAGTTAACACAAATTATCTGCAAATGATTTAAAATTGTGTAATTGCTTGATTGATTGTAAATAATAATGACTTTCGCATGGAGTGCAAATGTCCCAAGAGCAATTGTTAATTTCGGCTATGCATCGCCTGTGACTGACAACTGACATAAGCAAAAAATATGTACGTATGCCAGCAATGAAGCTGCCGTGGAGGACCGCACATTCTCACGTTCATTTCACTTTTAGTACATCTGAACGTGAACGTGAAAAATGGTGTATGCACGAATTTTGTGCGTACGCCACGTTAGTACATGAGGCCCCTAGTCTCTGTCCTCTAAAGCTGTTTTAGTGAATTAATTAATATCAGATTATGATTTTGATTTACTTTGGGGGGGTAAGACAGTCATATTAATACTCACATTCCTCGAGGCACTGGCCGAGGAGGTGGAGTAGCAGCCATATATGATTCGGGTGTTTTAATGGACCCTAAACCTAAACTAAATTATAATTATTTTCAAAGCCTTGTTCTTAGTCTTTCTCACCCATCCTGGAAAACACTGCAGGCAGTTCTATTTGTTAGTGTACCGCGCTCCTGGACCGTACTCTGATTTTATATCTGAATTCTCTGAGTTTTTATCAAGTTTAGTCCTTAAATCAGATAAAATCACCTATAATAATTACTTTAATATTCATGTGGATGTTGAAAATGACAGCCTTAGTAACGCATTCATCTCATTAACAGACTCAATTGGCTTCTGTCAGAGTGTAAATAAACAAACTCATTGTTTTAATCACATTCTTGACCTTGTTCTATCATATGGCATTGATATTGAACATTTAATAGTCTTCCCACATAATCCTTTCCTATCTGACCATTATTTAATAACTTTTGGATTCATACTGTTAGATTAGTCTCTAAAAGTAGAACAGGAGCCAGAGCCTTCAGTTACCAAGCTCCTCTCCTGTGGAACCAGCTTCCAGTTGTGGTTCGGGAGGCAGACACCCTCTCCACATTCAAGAGTAGGCTTAAGACGTTCCTCTTTGATAAAGCTTATAGTTAGGGCTGGATCAGGTGAGTCCTGAACCATCCCTTAGTTATGCTGCTATAGGCCTAGACTATCGGGGGATTTCCCATTGTGCACTGAGCTCCTCTCTCTTTCTGCACTCATTCATGTCCCATTAATGCATGTTACTAACTTCACTTCTTCCCCGGAGTTCTTGTGCTTTCTCGTCTCGCAGGTTCTTATCGATCCTGGTGGAGCCTCCTGCCGTGGTCCTGCTAGATTGCCATTGCCAATACTGTTGTTGCTGTGCGTCTCTCTCTCTCTCTCTCTCTCACCCCAACTGGTCGAGGCAGACAACCACCCACCTAGAGCCGAAGGATCTGTCCTAGGTTTCTGCCTTTTAACAGGCAGTTCTTCCTTGCCCTTGTCGCCTAAATTTAAGGAGGAGACTCCTTCAGTGTTTAATTCAATGCCATGTTTGAATTTAACAGAGTCCTATAATAACTTTAGTCCCTCTGAAACTGATAATCTTGTTGATAGTGCTGCAGGCTCACTACGAAGAACATTAGATTCTATCGCTCCTATAAAAAGGAAATTATTAAAACATAGGAAACTAGCACCGTGGTACAACCACCAAACCCGCCAATTAAAGCAAAAAGCTAGGAAATCTGAAAGGAAATGGCGCTCTTCCAAATTATCAGAATATCGCTCAATTTGGCAAGATAATCTTAAAACATATAGAAAGGCCCTCTGTAATGCCAGAGGAGCCTATTACTCAGCACTAATAGAAGAAAATACGAATAACTCTAGGTTCGTCTTCAGCACTGTAGCCAGGCTGACAGAGAGTCACAGCTTTATTGAGCCACATATCCCCATAAAGTTAAGTAGCAACGACTTTATGAGCTTCTTTTATAATAAAATTATTACTATTAGAGAGAAAATGAATCACCAACTGCCATCAACAGTTATCAGTGGCTCTCCAAGTTCAGGAACTTTAACTAATGTAAACTTGGATATATATATTTAGACTGTTTTTCTGCTATCGATCTTCATCAGTTAACTTCAATAATTTCTACATCGAAGCCATCAACCTGTCTGTTGGACCCAATCCCAACTAGGCTGCTTAAAGAAGTCGTACCCTTAATTGGCACTTCTTTACTGGATATGATTAATCTTTCTTTATTATCAGGATATGTACCACAGTCCTTTAAAGTAGCTGTAATTAAACCCCTTCTTAAAAAGCCCACTCTTGACCCAGGGGTTTTAGCCAACTATAGACCAATCTCTAACCTCCCCTTCCTCTCTAAGATTCTGGAGAAAGTAGTCGCCAAAGAGTTGTGTGACTTTTTACATAACAATAGTTTATTTGAGGATTTTCAGTCAGAATTTAGAGTTGATCACAGCACAGAGACAGCACTGGTTAAAGTTAAGAATTACCTTTTAATTGCTTCCGACAATGGACTTGTCAAGAACAGTACTAAGATTTAAAAATACAAGTGCAGTGACACCATCATATTCTATTACAGAGGCTTGAGCATCAAATTGGCATTAAAGGAACCGCACTAAGTCCTATTCTGTAAATAATGTTATAAAGAGTTCGGTCTAGACCTGCTCTATTTGAAAAGTGTCCTGAGATAACTTCTGTTATGAATTGGCACTATACAAATAAAATTTAATTGAAATTTGGTAAATGGACCTGTACTACACTGCCTTTCTAGTCTTCCGACACTCAAAGCGCTTTTACGCCACATTCTCCCTTTCACACACATTCACTCAGCAATGGCAAAGTCCATCGAATAGAAACTAACACATTCATACACATTCACACACCGGAGTTCACAAATTCGGAGTTCAGTCTCTTGCTCAAGGATACTTCGACATGTGGCAGGAGGAGCTGAGGATCGAACCAACAACCTTCCAATTAGTGGATGACCCGCTCTTCCTCTGAGCCACAGCTGCCCGCTGTTTATTTATCATTCTCAGTTTGTACATGTTAACGATGAATCCTCCATAAACACTAAAGTTAGCTGTTTATTTATCAGATTGTTCTTAAAACGTATATGCAATACATCTTTTTACTTTTATTCAAAATACCGGTTCATCTCTTAGTCCAGGCCTGCAACAGTTATTGGTTTTAATTTCAGAGTCATCATTGTAACATTAGTTTAAAGACCTATACGCGTCGACCTCACCATTCAATACATCCGTCTGAACTCACATCTCTCATTTTAGCCCATCAGGACCTGGTCCTCCCTTTGTTCCAGGGTCACCTCTCCTTCCCCGTTAACATTTATTTAATAATAATTAATCTTTTATGGCAAATTCTTAAAACGTTTACACAATATATCTTTCTGTGTTCATTTAAAATACCAATTCACCTCTTAGTCCAGCCAAGAAAAGAAGCCCTGCAACAATTAATAGTTTTATTTCAGAGTCATCATTTTTACATTCGTTTTCAGACGTATATGCGTTGACCTCACCATTCAATGTATCCGTCCACATGCAACCCTCATATCCACAGAGAACTGCTAACCACACTCAGTCGAATCAAACACAAACAGCCAGTATCTACCAGCTCTAAAGAACGCATACAATTCACCTTCCCATTCCCCTCGTACCACGACATAGTTTGTTCAGCGTTCCTCGACCGCAGGTCAAAGCCAGATGGTTACACGCCTCTGATACTTGACCCAGCCCTTAATATAATGCAGTTCGTACAGAAGCTTACCCTAGCTTCAGCCTAGCATCAATTCATCACCCAAGTTTCTTGCATTTTTCCCAGGTCGCAAAACAAAATTGCCGACACGCTCTCGCTTCTGGTTACAGAAATTCAATACACAATCGGCACTAGCCTCCGATGCCGTTCCGACTCCAGTCCAACCATCTTCAGCCACCATCTTCTACTGACTCCCTTCAGATGGATAATTCAATTCAATTCAATTTTATTTGTATAGCGCCAATTCATAACAGAAGTTATCTCAGGACACTTTTCAAATAGAGTAGGTCTAGACCGAACTCTTTAAAACGTTATTCTGTTTGCTGTTTTCTTTCGCTCAATAGCTTCATCCCGTTCGCTGATCAATCATTAAAATCATCCAACCCACACGACTTTACGACCTAAATGATATAAAAACCCCATGCTTATGAGTCGATTTAAAGTCTCTTTGGGGGCTTTCTACAAGAGATACAAAGAGACAGCCTCTGACACTCAGTCTCACAACCCACTCAGTTCCCTCTTACATCGCACCGAACCC